CTTCTGACCCCAGAATTGACCCTCCTGCCACTGGCTGTAGCCCTGAGATTGATTTTTGTAGCCACGATTGTTTCCTTATCCTCTGAAGTTCTGGTTGTAGTTCCCTCTGTTGGGCATTCCACCTCTGTTGTAGTTCCCTCTGTTTGAGTAACTACCACGGCCAGGAAAAACAGGAGCACGAGGGTATGGATAGCCTATGCCACCACTTCCACCGCCACCACTGCCTCTCTGTGGCATGTTGCCCCTCCTGTTATATCCGCCATGATTCCCAGGGGCTCCTCCTCTGAAATTTTCACCACGCATATTGAATCCTCTACGTCCTCTATGGCCACTACCCCTGTTCTTGCCACTCTTATTTTTATTGCTCTTCTTTGAGCCAGTGTTCTGTTTCTTTTCTGGTGGAAGAGCCTTTTTGCTTTCTTCCTTATATTGCTCCAAAAGCTTTTGGGCTTCTTCTTTCTGAAGTTCAACACAGGTTATTTCATCAAAGCATTCAGCTACCTCTGGGAGGGTAAAGTTTCTGGAAAGGGAATGTTTTAATCCAAGATCCAGTCAAGGTTTATATATTTCATTTGGTTATAATTTTTTAAATCTTTTATTCTACTGGTATTTTTGAAGTGTCCAGGCCATATTCTAATTTGTCTGATTGTTTCCTCAATGTTAGATTCAGGTTAAACCTTTTTGTTAAGAATGCTATAAAGGGACCGGGTGCAGTGGCTCACACCTGTAATCCCAGCACTTTGGGAGGCTGAGACGGGTGGATCACCTGAGGTCAGGAGTTGAAGACCAGCTTGGCCAACATGGTGAAACCCCCTTCCTATTAAAAAATGCAATTTTTTTTTTTTTTTAGACCGAGTCTCACCCTGTCACCCAGGCTGGAGTGCAATGGCATGATCTTGCCTCGTTGCAAACTCTGCCTCCTGGGTTCGGATGATTCTCCTGCCTCAGCCTCTTGAGTAGCTGGGATTACAGGCACCCGTCACCATGCCCAGCTAATTTTTGTAATTTTTTTTAGTAGAGAGGGGATTTCACCATGTTGGCCAGGCTGGTCTCAAACTCCCAACGTCAGGTGATCCGCCCGCCTCGGCCTCCCAAAGTGCTGGGATTACAGGCATGAGCTACCGCACCTGGCCTAAAAATACAAAATTTAACTGGGTGTGGTTGTGCATACCTATAGTCCCAGTTACTCAGGAGGCTTAGGCAGGAGAATTGCTTGAACCCAGGAGGCAGAGGTTGCAGTGAGCTAAGATTGTGCCACTGCACTCCAGCCTGGGTGACAGAGCAAAACTCCATCTCAAAAAAAAAAAAGAATGCTATAAAGGGGCCAGGCATGATGGCTCCCTGTTGTAGTCCCAGTTACTTGGGAGGCTGAGGCAGGAGGATGACTTGAGCCTGAGAGGTCAAGGTTAGAGTGAGCTGTGATTGTACCATTGCACTCCAGCCTGGGTTACAGAAGGAGACCCTGTCTCCAAGAAAAAAGAAAAAGATTGCTATAATGGTGATGTGTATTTCCCATTGCATCACATCAGTAGATATAAAATGTCAATTTCCCCTATTATCAATAATGTTAGAGCTTTGTAAATTTGGTTAATGTGATGTTTCCCAGCTCTCTCCATTGTAAATATATCATTTCCCTTCTTATTAATAGATATCTGGGCATGGACTTTGGATTATATTCATATTGTGTTTTCCATGCATCTTTTACTCAATTATTTTAGCTTTTTGTTGTTTGTTGTTTTTGAGATGGGGGTCTTTTGCTCTGTGGCCCAGGCTGGAGTACAGTGTCACAATTACAGCTCACTGCAACCTCCACCTCCTGGGCTCAAGTGATCCTCCCACCTTAGCCTTTTGAGTAGCTGGGACTACAGGTGTGTACCACCATGCTTGGCTAATTTTTGTATAATTTTTGCAGACATGGGGTTTGGCCATGTTGCCCAGGCCAGTCTGGAACTCCTGGGATCAAGCAGTTTGCCTGCCTCAGCCTCCCAGAGTGCAATGATTATAGGCGTTGAGTCACTGTGCTTGGCCTATTTTAGCATTTATTAATGATCCTTGCTTGATTCAGTTATTACATCTGGGGTTGCAATATGGTGATTTTCCAGTGTCATTTTTTTTGCATTTATTAGCTACCTTTTTTTTGTTTTTGTTTTTCAGATGGGATCTTGCTATGTTGCCCAGGCTGAAGTAGCTATTCACAGACCTGATCATCAGGCATGGCAGCTCACACCTATAATTCCAGTACTTTGGGAGGCCAGTAACTGCCTCAGCCACAGCCTCCTAAGTAGCTGAAATTAAAGGTGTATGCCCATGCCTGGTAATTAGCTAGCTTTTAAAAAAATTTTATTTAAAGAAAAGTGCTTCCCCTTTTTCTCTCCTTCTTTCAGTATCACCAAGGAGTCATGAATTCTTTCTGTATTCAATGTACTATGTTATTTTTTGTTGATTTGTTAGCCAGTGGGATCCTGTGTCCTTTTGAAATAGCCCCAGTAGTGTTTGAGTTCTTCCATCCTTTCTGACACAAAATGTTTCAGACTCACCTCGTACTTTCCTTGCTTCAAACCTGGAAGCAGCTAATTTTTTCAAGGAGCCCTGGTTCCTTTTAGTGGCAGTGGCATTTGGAAACCAAGATCTAGTTGCTAAGTATACTTTAAAAATAACCTTTAAGAAAAAAACATTGCCTGAGGCTGGGAGCAGTGGCTCACACCTATAATCCCAGCACTTTGGGAGGGTGAGGCAGGTGGATTATGAGGTCAAGAGTTCGAGACCAGCCTGGCCAAATTAGTGAAACCCCTTCTCTACTAAAAATACAAAAAAATTGGCTGGTTGTGGTGGCACACGCCTGTAGTCCCAGCTACTCAGGAAGCTGAGGCAGGAGACTCGCTTGAATCTGGGAAGCATGAGGTTATGATGAGCTGAGATTGTGCCACAGCACTCCAGCCTGCCCAGCCTAGACAACAGAGGAAGACTCCATCTTTAAAAAAAAAAAAAAAAAAAAAAAAAAACATTGTCTGACATTTTGATAGTGTATTACCATGTAAGAGGGCTTCCACATGTTTTTAAAATGATTCACCTTATTGGTCCTTCCTCTAGTACTGTATGGTAGGCAGGTCAAATGCTAGAATCTTCATTTAAAGATGAAGAAAGTGAGGTTTAGAGAGGATTTAACTTTCTCAGAATTATAAGGCTAGTAAGAACAGTTTGCGGGACCCAAACCCAAGCCTTTTACTTGTTTAATTTTTTTCTTTATTTTTTCTTTTTTTCATAATATGTAGTCTCCTAAAAAGTGTGTTTAGATATCCAATAAAGCTGTGTAGTTGACTGTTGGTCTTGGTCACTGCCAGTCCATCTAGAGAGAACACTTCCTTTGTGAAACTAACTGACAAATGACTAGAACCATAGAGGATTTTTGCATCCTTCTGAGCATTGCTTTGGGAGCTTCTTTTGTAATGGAGCTTACTAAAGGGCTTTCAGCACTGCTTTGTGATGCATGGAATGTTTGATGTGGGACTTGGAGAGCTCTCTTTGGAAGCAGTGTATGGTCATACTTAAACCCTTTGTCTCATGACAGGCTGTAATTGGGTCACTGCTAGGGAACCAAAAGAAGAAGAAGGAAACCCTGGCAGTAAATCTTAAAATGCTATGCTTATGCTATAATTTAGTATTTCATTGTTTGAAGGTCTCTATCTTAATCCTACTTGTTTTATTTTCACTAAAATTCAAGTTTTGCAAATTAACAACCTAAGGAAACTTTTTAGACATTTGTCCCCTAATCTCTTCCCACCCACCATGAGATTTTAATACCTCAGATATACTACGTGTCTGTACACTGTATATATTTGTGCTTTATATATTAAAAGAGCTAAGATGTTTTTCATCCTCTGAGAACCATTTTTTGGCCTCTTTGGGAGTGATATTACCCTTATTGAAAAATACGTGAAGTAGATGGTAAAATGAAGGACAAATTTGATTTGTATTATAATAATTCATCTTTTTCGTTTTTTGAGTCAGAATCTCTCTCTGTCTCCAGGCTGGAGTGCAGTGGTGTGATCTCAGCTCACCACAACCTCTGCCTCCCTGGTTCAAGCGATTTTCCTGCCTCATCCTCCCAAGTCGCTGGGATTACAGGCGCGCACCACCACGCCCAGCTGCTTTTTGTATTTTTAGTAGAGATGGGGGTTTCACAGTGTTGACCAGGCAGGTCTGGAACTCCTGACCTCAAGTGATCTGCCCACCTCAGCCTCCCAAAGTGCTGGGATTACAGGCGTGAGCCATACCTGGCCAGTAATCCATCTTATAATTGCATACTGAAAATAAAGTGTCTTACTTGAATAACTAAATACAGTCTATAAATTATTTCAGTCCTAATAGCACTATGAGATTTTGGTTACCTGAAGGCTAACCTCATCCTACTGATCAAAGATAGTAATTTTTCACCCATAGGAAGCACCAAAGTCTACAATCTTAATTTCTTTTTCCTTCCAAAGAGTTAGATAATTGAGATTTTTGGTGATACTGGTGAATTTAATCATTTTCAATATTATTTTTCTCTGGAATTTATTGATGTGTAAGATACTACTTGAATATATTATAACACACTTAAGATATATATATAGATATATATATACACACACACACACACACACACACATATATATACACACACACATATATATATATATATATATATATAAATTTTGCCTGAAAATTCCCCCTTTCTCCTACCACTACCCCAGATAAAGAATGGAATATTTGAGGGAGTAGAAACATATACTATAGTGAGTTTTTTTTCTTTTTAGCATTTACCCATTACACACCATCTTGTGTGCTTTGTGGGTTTTTTCCTAAACATTTCTCTGTATATCTTTTTATTATTGTTTTCTGCCTCTGTCTCTTTTCTTTGTCTTTTGCTCTCTGTACTTCCCCCAATATTCCTTCCATCTCTTTTCCTGCCCTCTTATTTCTTCTCTCTCCTACATGTTGTCTCCTTTCTTTTCATTCAGGACTATGAGAGTAAATTGCAGGCCTTGCAGAAGCAGGTTGAAACCCGATCCCTAGCGGCAGAAACAACTGAAGAGGAGGAAGAGGAGGAGGAAGAAGGTGAAATCTAGAGACAGAAACTTTTCTGTGTATATCTTTTTGGAGTTATATTATCAAATTAGTTATTTATGCATAACTAAAGCTGGATTCCTCATAGTGGGCCCTATCATTTATTGACATTTTACTGAGCCAGTTTATTGATGATTTAATAGATGTGCAGTGTTGAGAATCCAGGCTGTGGATTCTCATCCATTTTATGAGGTGGGGATGGGGGTGATAGTGTTCTTAGACCTTCACAAGGTTTCTGAACATATCTTCATATGAATGTCTTAGAAAGTTTCAGGGCACAGTGGCTCATGCCTGTAATCCAGCACTTTGGGAGGCCAAGGTGGGTGGATCACTTGAGGTCAGGAGTTCGAGACCAGCCTGGCCAACATGGTGAAACCCCATCTATACTAAAAATACAAAAATTAGCCAGGCATAGTGGTGCATGCCTATAATCCCAGCCTCTTGGCAGACTGAGGCAGGAAAATTGCTAAAACCTGGGAGGTGGAGGTTGCAGAGATCACGCCATTGCACTCCAGCCTGGGCAGCAAGATTGAAACTCTGTCTCAAAAAAAGAAAAAAAATTAGCCAGTCATGGTGGTGTACACCTGTAGCCCTAGCTACTTGGGAGGCTGAGGCAGGAGAATAGCTTGAAACAGGGAGGCAGACATTGCCGTGAGCCAAGATCGTGCTGCTGCACTCCAGCCTGGCGACAAAGTGAGACTCTGTCTCAAAAAAAGAAAGTTTACATGTACTGCCTCATATTGCTATAGATGTGACGTTTTTATATATGAATTACAAATAAATATAGAGCTTAATGTTGGTTAAGGCAGTCTGTTCAATTTGCTGGCTAATGTCAGATTTCCAAGTGAGGACTTTGGAATGTGTCAGTGTACTTTGAAGCCATTTCTGGCAAATATCTAATCATATTGCTTAGTCATGTTTGCCTATGTTAGGTTTTCCAGCATTTCTTAGCTGAGTTAGGGCTTTCATTGTTACTTATTGCCTTATAATGCGGTATGAACACTTACCACACTTCCTTTTTCCACCCAACCTCTTGGCAGTCTCAAAGCTTCAAACTAACTTTGAAGGAACTCTTAATTTATGTATTAAATTTCTTATTTATTTATTCATTTTTGAGGCAGAGTTTTGCTCTTGTCACCCAGGCTAGAGTGCAATGGCACAGTCTTGGCTCACTGCAACCTCCACCTCCTGGGTCCAAGCGATTCTCCTGCCTCAGCCTCCTGAGTAGTTGGGATTACAGGCGTGCGTCTCCACGCCTGGCTAATTTTGTGTTTTTAGTACAGGCAGGGTTTCACCATGTTGGTCAGGCTGTTCTCAAACCTGCCATGGCCTCCCAAAGTGTTGGGATTACAGGCGTAAGCCACTGTACCCAGCTAGTTTCTTATTTTTAAATAAGTGAAATGGTACCTTTTTTCTCTCTATAGTAGAACAAAAAAAGAGAAATATGTGAAGTCATACAGTATATCAGGGGTCACAGGTCAGGAGTTTGTCTTTCTTTTTTGAGACGAAGTCTCACTTTGTCACCCAGCCTGGAGTGCAGTGGTGAAATCTTGGCTCACTGCAACCTCTGCCTCCCAGGTTCAAGCAATTCTCATGCCTAAGCCTCCTGAGTAACCGGGACTACAGGCACATGCCATCACGCCTGACTGATTTTTGTTTTTAGTAGAGATGTAGTTTCACCATGTTGGCCAGGCTGGCCTCAAACCCCTGACCTCAGGTTATCTGCCCACCTCTGCCTCCCAAAGCGCTGGGATTAATAGATGTGAGCCACTGTGCCTAGCCAGTTTTTTTTTTTTTTTTTTTTAAGAAAGAATTTTGTTGTTGTTGCCCAGGCTGGAGTGCAATGGTGCGATCTCGGCTCACTGCAACCTCTGCCTCCTGGGTTCAAGCGATTCTCCTGCCTCAGCCTCCCAGGTAGCTGGGATTACAGGCTGCACCACCACACACAGCTGATTTTGTATTTTTAGTAGAGATGGAGTTTCTCCTAGTGGTCAGGCTGGTCTTGAATTCCCGACCTCAGGTGATCCACCCGCCTTGGCCTCTCAAAGTGCTGGGATTACAGGTGTGAGCCACCCCACCCGGCCCAGGAGTATTTTTTATTGTGGCCATATGTTATAATAATAATCGTTTTTTTACTCCAAGAATGTTACAAAATTGTCAGGAAAAAAAAATAATAATAATATCTTTTAAAAAAAAAAAAAAGAAAAATGTATTTCTTTGATGTACTATTTTAAATAAATTCAAAAGTAGGATTTTTTTTTTTTTTTTGGTTTTTGGTTTTTGGTTTTTGTTTTGTTTTGTTTTTGTTTTTTTAGTAGAGACAAGGTTTTTCCATGTTGGTCAGGCTGGTCTCAAACTCCTGACCTCAGGTGATCTGCCTGCCTCAGCCTCTTAAAGAGCTAGGATTACAGGTGTGAGCCACTGTGCCCGGCCAAAAGTAGGATTTTTAAAGGTTTTCTGAAATGTATATATTGCTTTCCTAATATCAAAAGAATTTAGTAAGCTTTACTAAAAAGAAGAGAAAACAAAAACAGCCGAATGCAGAGAAATTAGAAAACACCATCTCGATAAAAGAGATAGGCTAAAAGAGAGATGTAATTTTTATATAATTGTAAGATTGCTATTAAATATGCATCATTAATTCTTTCAGTTTCTTGGACACAGCATGAATTTGAGTTGGCTCAATGGGCCTTCCGGAAATGGAAGTCTCACCAGTTTACTTCATTACGGGACTTACTCTGGGGCAATGCTGTGTACCTAAAGGAGGCCAATGCCATCAGCGTGGAACTGAAAAAGAAGGTATGGAGCAGGAGAACACAGGAGATCTGGAGGCAAAGCTGAGCCTGCTGTGGGCGCATCTGGGCTCTCACCTTGAACTAACCTTTGCTTTGGGGGCACTCAGCTGCTTTGTGCTGTAAAACAGCTTTATATATGTCTTTATTTAATATATGTGCCTGGAACATAGTAGGTACTAAATTTTTGTTAAATAAAATTGAAAAAAACAAACAAACAAACAAAAAAACAGATGTTTTCTAGCTTATTTTACAAGTAAAGAGACTGTATTCCTAACAAGAACTGGAGAAACATAGTAGTAGAAAAATGCTTCTCTTGGGTTTCTGAATAATTTTAATTTTCTTCTGCTTTTCTACCGCTAAGTTTGCACCTCTAAGTTTGGTATGCCCCTTTGCCACTGATCTGCTCCTCCTCTGGGGTCTGAGAGGCACTGTTGTGTAGTGGACAATCACGTGCACCCTGGACCCAGACAGTCCAGGTTCCAGCCCCAGCTCCACAAGTGGTGTTGACCCCAGAGACCCTGTGCCTCCATTCCCCATCTACATAATGGGATTGGCAACAATACCTGGCACCAAAGGATTTTGTGAGGAATGAAAGTGGGCATATGCATAAAGCACTTAAAATAGTGCCTGGCATGGTAAAAGGCAATAAATGTTACTCAATTTTGTAAGTATTACCAAAACTTCACACCAAACCGTAGACTCCGTCTTCTGTATGCCCCACTGTTTATCAGTTTCTTCACTGCTAAGATTACAGTAGAAGACCATATTGTGTACTAGGTAAGAGCACAGACTACCTGACTTTGGGGAAATTAATTATCTTCTCATAGAATTAAATTATAGTTCTAGGGAATAAGATCTTCGTTCATACTCTCGGCAGCCTTTCTCATTTTATAGTTATTTATTAACCACTCCTCTCCACAAGTAGACTAAAGGCAGTAACTGTCATTTTTTCTTACTGCTATGCATAGCATTTAATATTAAATAATAATTTGTTTAATAATAATTTCTTGGTGAAAATATAGGTGATAGTGAGAAATAAGTGACGCGATGTTGTGAAGCACTTACCTTATAATAAACTCTTTTTTTTGAGACAGGATCTGGTTCTATCGCCCAGGCTAGAGTGTAGTGGCACAATTACGGTTCATTGCAGCTTCCACATCCTGGGCTTAGTTTGTAGAGACAGGGTCTCACTGTGTTGCCTACGCTGGTTCCAAACTTCTGGGCTAAGCTTCGAAAGTGCTGGGATTATAGATGTGAACTTCGATGCCCAGCCTAAAAAAAGGCTTTTTAGAGCAGTAGTTGTAACTCTCTGAATTTAAAATGTGAAACCTTGCTGTGTTTCCATCCTCTTTCATTAGTGAGGGATTAGATGTGCATTTTGTGGTCCACCTTTTGGTCTCTGGTATAAGTTCTATAAAAGGCTTCATTCAGTCAATCAAAATACATTTATCAAGATTTTAGCCCAGGCGTGGTGGTTTGCACCTGTGATCTTAGCCCTTTGGGAGGCCAAGGCTGGTGGATCTCAAACTCAGGAGTTCTAGACCAGCCTGGGCAACATGGTGAAATCCCATCTCTACAAAAAATACCAAAAATTAGCTGGGCTGGTAATACATGCCCGTAGTCCCAGGTACACAGGAGGCTGAGGTGGGAGGATCACCTGAGCCTAGAAATGGAGGCTACAGTGATCTGTGTTTGCACCACTGCACCCAGCCTGACAGAGTGACAGAGTACAACCCTGTCCCTCTTGCGGCTCCCCCCAAAAAGATTTTAGTTTGAAGTTAGGGTTATTCCCTATGACTGCTAATAGGTGGCCATATTTTTCAGTTAGTCACAAGATATTTATTGAGCACATACAACACATTCGACCTCTTTCCCATTGGGCATGATTGTATCATCTCATCTCTGAAGCTTGCTTGATGAAAACCATTTGTCAATGGTTTCTTCTTTCCATTCAGGTGCAGTTTCAGTTTGTTCTGCTGACTGACACACTGTACTCCCCTTTGCCTCCTGAATTACTTCCTACTGAGATGGAAAAAACTCATGAGGACAGGCCTTTCCCTCGCACAGTGGTAGCAGTAGAAGTTCAGGATTTGAAGAATGGAGCAACACACTATTGGTCTTTGGAGAAACTCAAGTATGAAAACAGTCATAAAGGCTGATTGTTTTATTTAGGAAAAAACAATGACTTGATTAAGTGGGCTCCCTCAAACTCTCCTCTCTGAGGACACCGTTGCTTACTTCCTTGTACCGTCTTTTTATTTGTTTTTCTTTTTTCACCCAAATCTCATTTTGAAACTTCCTTGTACTTTCTAAATGCTGTTGCTGGCCAATGATATTACCATCTGTTTTCTTTTAAGTGAATGAATTGTACTCCTCACACACCTCTGACATTTGTAGATATTTAAATTTACCCTCCGTAGACCCTCTTTTAAATTTTAGATATTCCAATTTCATGATATTTCTATTTCAGATCTGGAACTTACTCATCTTTTCTATCCTGGACCTCAGGATGATCAATAATAAATACGGTAGCTTCTTTTACATTTAAGATGAGATATTTCCCCATCTCAGTGTATTTAAGATGTCACATACAGTTGACTTACAGTATTCCCCTTTGTGGCTTTTCACTCAGTAGAGGATAGGTGGCCATTCTTGACTTTTGATGGCTTATCTCTAGACTCAGACACTTGGGATACTAAGTGTTGGTTTCTGTACTTTTGGCCTTCATTCTTTTCAAATAACATTAAAGAGTGGGAGTAACTCCTTTTTTTTTTTTTTTTTTTTTTTTTGAAGAAAACCTTGCATGGAAGATGCTTCCAAAGTTTAGTGTAGTCTCATTATATTAACCCAGTGTGCTTTGTGTTTGCTAAATAGGCAGAGGCTGGATTTGATGCGAGAGATGTATGATAGGGCAGGGGAGATGGCCTCCGGTGCCCAAGACGAAAGCGAGACCACTGTGACTGGCAGCGATCCCTTCTATGATCGGTTCCACTGGTTCAAACTTGTGGGGAGGTATGTGATGATTTTGTTGATGTCTTCTTTTAAAAATAATCAATAGTTTTATTTTAAGTGTTTAAAACCTGAGCAGATACTATAAAAAGTTAAGAGGAAAAAAAAGAGTGTAAAAAGGCATCTGTAATCTTATATACTCACAACCACTGTGTCTTTTGGTTTATTTCCCGTCATTTATACTCAGTGGGCATATTTGTTTTGAGTCTCAAACTTTCAGCCAAAGTATTTGAGTCTTCCCTGACTTTAAACTTACAAAATGTTCTGCAACTGATAAAGATAAATTTAAAAGGAAAAGAAAACTTGTACACAATTTAAATTCATAGTATGGCTTTTCAGACACAATCTCTTCATGATCTAATTTGTTCTTCCTTTTTTTTTAAAAAAAGTAATTCATCCCACTTTAGTCATTGCAAGGGTGAATTCATTGTACCTTGGTAGTCCCCTTCAGCCTCATTTTTTATACATTATTTTCAGCACTTAGTGAAAACACATAGTGCCTCTATGAGTCCATACTGAGTCAAGTTCTTAAAGGTTTCAGATTTTCAAAGCAGGGAAATTTAAGTTTTGAGCTTATGATTTCAGAATTTGAATTGCTTTTCAATTGCAAAAAAAACCCTGTAATGGTTTTTAAAGAGGCTGGGTAAAAAGGAGTTGCTGAAGTCATAGTATGTTGTGGAAATGAAGTAAATCTTTTCCACTCTACTCTGATAGCAAAATAGTTTTTCAAAGAGATGAATTGGCCAAACACATCTTAACCTTAGCAAAGCACATGCTGCTCTGTCATATACCATTTCATCAATTTTGTTTTCTGCTCCAAGATGATGTCAGAATTTCAGTAAAGATTGAAAGCCTTCTTATTTCACTTTGATGTTGAATGGGTTCTTTGAGGCCTAGATGCTGATCTTTTATGGGAACTGGAGAATGTAAACGTGTTATAACACCATATTTACCTAGGATGGTCTACTCATGTGTTTCCTTTGCTTTTCTTATTCTAAGGATCAGTCCTTACGTAACTTTTTCAACCTGCCCTTGTTCCCTTTCACCTGACCCAAATAATTTATGCTTATTTTATCCTTTTGCTTTTCCATTTGCTTTTATTGTGTTGATTCCCCAGTGGATTCTGTCCTGTTGGCACCTATTGCTTCCTGTTTAACCAACTATTCCTCTCTCCCTGGCTGTGTTAATTGGCGTCTTACCTGGTGTCTAGCTCCCCCATTTTCCACGGCTGTGTGAATGAGCGCCTTGCCGACCGCACACCCTCCCCCACTTTTTCCACGGCCGATTCCGACATCACTGAGCTGGCTGACGAGCAGCAAGATGAGATGGAGGATTTTGATGATGAGGCATTCGTGGATGACGCCGGCTCTGACGCAGGGACGGAGGAGGGATCAGATCTCTTCAGTGATGGGCATGACCCGTTTTACGACCGATCCCCTTGGTTCATTTTAGTGGGAAGGTTGGTGAGGTTATTGTGAGAAAGGCAAAAAGGGACCAGCTCTTGCTCTGAAGGCCTCCCTGCCTGTGCAATTTTGGGTAACCTTGCATTAGCCAATTAAACTCATGAATGCTCACTTCCAAGTTCTCCAATACTTCAAGCTCTTTATCAATGCTGATCTGGCCGAGAGAGTTCTCAGGCATTGTTGGTGAGGTCCTCAGTCTACTCAGCACATTATGCAGCAATATGTGAAGACTGCATGGAACACAACTTGTCTTAAATTGCCCAGTAATTTTGTTCTGAAGAAAGGAACCCCAAAGGAGAAAGTCAAACGTAAGAGTCAAATGTAGTGGGTTTAGCGAGTGGTATTATGGTCTAGATGTTTCCTTTTCAAAGGAATGTGATTGAAAAGCATACAGAGATAACACAAGAGAGGGAGCAGAGCAAGGCCAAGGTTTGGCAGAAGAATCTGTGCTACTGCAGGAATCAGAGGACAAAAGTAGATTCAGGAGTAGAGTTAAATACATTTTTTGCTTAGTCTACTGAGTCCTAAAAAGAATCAGGAAAGTCCAGCTTCTCCTTTACCTAAAATGAATGCCTTTCTCTGGCCAGTTTCACTGAGCCTATCTGTAGATCTTTGGCATCTGCTAAAATTATAACCTGTAGGGTTTATAATGATAAAGCTCAGAAAATCATCTATTGACCCCATCAACGATGAATATTGGCCAGGCACGGTGGCTCACACCTGTAATCCTAGCGCTTTGGGAGGTTTAGGTGGGTGGATCACCTGAGGTCAGGAGTTCGAGACCAGCCTGACCCATGAAACCTGTCTCTACTAAAAATACAAAAATTAGGCCAGGTGTGGTGGCTCACGCCTGTAATCCCAGCAGTTCGGGAGGCTGAGGTGGGTGGATTACCTGAGGTCGGGAGTTTGAGACCAGCCTGCCCAACATGGCGAAGCCCTGTCTACTAAAAATAACAAAAGAATTAGGCAGACTTGGTGGGTACCTGTAGTCCCAGCTACTCAGGAGGCTGAGACAGGAGAATTGCTTGAACCCAGGAGGTGGAGGTTACAGTGAGCCAAGATCATGCCATTGCACTTCAGCCTGGGCGACAAAATGAGACTCCATCTCAAAAAAAAAAAATATTTATTTGGTGCTATGTGAAACTACTTTATGTTAAGACTAGTTCACCAAACTGAGACATTGTCTCTGGCTCTCAGTTTGTGCATCCATCAGTGATGCAGAACTCTGTAGCACGTGTTCATAATACTGGTGTCTTTGTCCATATCCAGTCTTCATGCTGTGGTAATTTTAATTACAAATTCAACAGTAGAGCACTCATTGGATTAACCAAACAGTATGCCCAGGTTTAAAAGTATTAAATTTAACTTTAATGGTACATTAGAACCACATATTGTTGCCGGGCGCAGTGGCTCACGCCTGTAATCCCAGCACTTTGGGAGGCCGAGGCGGGTGGATCACGAGGTCAAGAGATCGAGACCATCCTGGTCAACACGGTGAAACACCGTCTCTACTAAAACTACAAAAAATTAGCTGGGTATGGTGGCGCGTGCCTGTAATCCCAGCTACTCAGGAGGCTGAGGCAGGAGAATTGCCTGAACCCAGGAGGCGGAGGTTGCGGTGAGCCGAGATTGCGCCATTGCGCTCCAGCCTGGGTAACAAGAGCGAAACTCCATCTCGAAAAAAAAAAAAAGAACCACATATTGTTGAATCCTTTATAAATAAGGGAATTATGTCAGTGTTAAATCGATAAGTACCAGTTATCTAAAAATTAAAGGATAGCAAGTCTCCTGACCTAGTAGAGACATAAGTTTTAAAACTTACCTCACCAGGTGCAGTGGCTCACATCTGTAATCTCAGCAAATCTGGAGGGTGAGGCCAGGAGTTTGAGACCAGAGTGGGCAACATAGTGAGACCCTGTCTCTAAAAATTTAAAAAATAGGCTGGGTATGGTGGCTCATGCCTGTAATCCCAGCACTTTGGGAGGCTGAGGCGGGCAGATCTCGAGGTCAGGAGATCGAGATCATCCTGGCTAACACAGTCAAACCCTGTCTCTACTAAAAATATAAAAAATTAGTCGGGCATGGTGGCACATACCTTTAATCCCAGCTACTTTGGAAGCTAAGGCGGGAGGATAACTTGAGCCCAAGAGTTTGATGCTACAGTGAGCAATGATTGCACTGCTGCACTTCAACCTGTGGACAGAGCAAGACCCCAACTCTACCAAAACATATAAAATGAAACAGAATTTATAGGCCGAGCACGGTGGCTCATGCCAGTAATCCCAGCACTTTGGGAGGCTGAGGCAAGTAGATCACAAGGTCAGGGGATTGAGACCATCCTGGCTAATATGGTGAAAACCTGTCTCTACTAAAATACAAAAAATTAGCTCGGCGTGGTGGCAGGCGCCTATAATCCCAGCTACTTGGGAGGCTGAGGTAGGGAGAATCACTTGAACCCGGAAGTTGGAAGTTGCAGTGAGCTGAGGTCATGCCATTGCACTCCAGCCTGGGCAACACAGTGAGACTCTGTCTCAAAAAAAAAAAAAAAAAAAGAATTTATAATATGGTATTGGTCACATGGTCAGAACCTCATAACTGATTTAGAAGATGATCACTGTTATGGAACAGGGGAAAATAAAACTTCTTTCATAGAAATGAAAGTCTCAAGTATAACTGTAGGTCATAATATTAGATAGTCTCTGGGTTTTCCAGTGGTGAAGGAGCATGTGGAATTCAGTTTTTCCATGAATAAACATAACGGGACTATGTGGCCATGAATATTGTTTTCTACTAGTGTATCGCCATGAATAGATACTTAGAATTTCACAGAAGCTGATTTTTATGAAAATAGAGAAAGGTGTATACAGACAGTGGGACAGTAATGCTTGCTTTATTTGATGGCTGCCTGTGTGCTTCAGCACATTTTTATACTATTCTAAGGGAGTTAGAAGTTAGAACCCAGTTTCTGGCCATAAACTTTTTTCCCAGTGCCAGTTACACAGCTTCTAAAACTGTTTATTTGTGTTCTTTACCACTGCAGTGAAGAGTAGGCAGCTTCATCTTATGTAACACGGTGAGGAGAAGCCTGACCTAATTGTCAGGAGAAGCCTTGGGTTTTAGACCATCTCTGTCACTAGGACAAGCAACTTAAACTGAAGCCTTTTGGGCTCTCAAGTGTAAAGCGAATGACAGGTAGAAATAAAGAGCCTTAAAGACATTTTTCAACTTTCATATCCTGTCATCTGCCCTAGTAAAAAAGATTATCCTGGGTAAGACTTCTAAGAAACATTTGTATTTTGAGCAAGTTGTATGGAAACTCAAGACAATCCCACTTAATGTGGAAATAAACTGACTTAAGATACATGTATTCTTTTCTCTCTAGTTTTATTTCTTTTAATCATATTAGATGTAAGTATAGGTATACAATCAATCTATTTCAATTTCCACATAAAATATTTATGGAGCTATGGCTCAGGAATTGACTTTTCCATTTGTTTAGGTTCCCAGGTTCTAACCTTGCAAGAAAGGACTGGGGGAGGAAGTGAAATCAGTAAATAGCAATTAGTAAAGTGAAGGATAATAACAATCAGTAAAGTGAAGGATAGCTTTCCATTTTTGCCCTTGACTACATTTCTCATCTACAAACAAAGTCTATAATAATGCAATATCACTCAGTTGTGTAGTGGTCATTGTATGTGTAAGGGAAGTAACTACTTTCCTGTTTTTGTGATTCACAATATTAGATTTCCCCTATTGGCATATAATTGCAAATATAATTCACTTGTAAAATTCTTAGTTTCCAGCCAGGCTTGGTGGCTCATGCCTGTAATCCCAGCACTTTGGGAGGCCCAGGTGGGCAGAGATCACGAGGTCAAGAGTTTGAGACCAGCCTGGCCAACATGGTGAAACCCCATCTGTACTAAGAATACAAACATTAGCAGGGCATGGTGACACATGCCTGTAATCCCAGCTGCTCAGGAGGCCAAGGCAGGAGAATCGCTTGAATCCTCGAGGTGGAGGTTGCAGTGAACCAAGATTGAGCTACTGCACTCGAGCCTGGGCAACAGAGCAAGACTCCATCTTCTGGGGCAGGGGAGTTTATTTTCTTGTGAAATTTCATTAGTAAGTTTATTTTTTAGCCATGACTGCTTCTGGTAAACATTCTGGTAAACATTCTGCCCCTGGTAACATTCTTTATATTACAAGTGAAAAGAGCTTGTCCCTTTAGCTATTCTCTTAATGGCATGTTGGGATGTTATGAACCATCCATCATAATTTGGGATGAAATGTAAAATATTTAAGTTAGTCTTCTGGGTTAAAAGGGAGTAAAAGATGATTATTCTGTGACCTCTCTGTACCTTAACTGGCACTCTTTCTGTAAGTAGCACCATAATTTTGCTGATTTTTCTTATCTTTATGTTGACCATTTGTTTCCTTTTTTGATGTAACTTCATAGAACTTTCTGCTAACGTATCCTTTACATATCTCCCTCTCTCATCTCTGTTCTCCTTCAGTCTGCTAGGTCAAAGTATAAGGATTCTCAAAAATACAGAGTAATTATGAAAATTCTATTTAAAAAGCTTCAGAATATAATTTTTATATAGCATTGATTTGGAGCTAAGGACTATATTCTGGTAACGTGACAGGGAGCTGTCTAGTGAGTGTGTGATTATATAGTCATAGAGGTAAGGTTCCTGCCATAGAATTATAGAATTCTCTAAAAAGGGAAATCTGTAATAATGCCTTCACTGTTCGCACACTGGGACTCGCCATTGCCATAGGCAGAAAGGCAGTCTTATCTTTAGTGTGTGTGTAAACAGTACTTTTGTGGAATGTGTGCATTAACATCATGAACTTCTTTAAAAAAAAAAAAAAGTGGCGGTTGTTTTTGAGTTGGGGTCTTGCTTTGTCACCCAGGCTGGAGTGCAGTGGTGCGATCTCAGCTCACTACAGCCTCTGCCTCTTGGGTTCAAGCGGTTCTCTGACTCAGCCTCTGGAGTAGCTGGGATTACAGGCACCCACCACCACGCCCAACTAATTTTTGTGTTTTTAGTAGAGATGGGGTTTCACCATCTTGGCCAGGCTGGTCTTGAACTCCTGAACTTGTGATCCACCCGCCTCAGCCTCCCAAAGTGTTGGGATTACAGATGTGAGCCACCATGCCTGGCCCAAATAATTATTTTTAAGATAACAAATTAGATGTAGTTAGGAATCTAAATGTGTTCTATATAGTTAATATCCATTATGAGATGGCTCTGAAAAATTAGCCTTGTATAAGTTAGATGGCTTTACTTTTCTGCTTCTGGTATATCTTTAAGTAGAAGTGGAAGATTTTCCATTTTTCTGGAAACAGAACAGAACAGAAAAATGATTTGCCTTTTATATTTCAGTAGAAGTGGAAGATTTTGTTCACTTACCAAATATTTATAGAATGCTCCACCCTCTGCAGACAGTAGTGAGCAAAGCCAGACATGGTTCCTGCCCTCACAGACTTATAGTTTGATGGGTGACACAGACATAAATTAAATAATTGCACAAATAAATAAATGTAAATTATAGCAATGATGAAATAGTTGTGTCTGTTGCCAGAGATCACATAACGTTGAGAGACCTGTTATGAGAAAGAGGTGTTTAAAATAAGACCTGAAGATGTGAAGAAACCAAAGGCAATGGGCCGGGCGTGGTGGCTCCCGCCTGTAATCCAAGCACATTGGGAAGCTGAGGTGGGTAGATCACCTGAGGTCAGGAGTTCAAGGCTAGCCTGGCCAACATAGTGAAACCCATCTCTACTAAAAATGCAAAAAATTAGCCAGGCGTGGTGGTGGGCACCTGTAATTCGAGGTACTCGGGAGGCTGAGGCAGGAGAATCACTTGAACCTGGGAGCTGGAGGTTGCCGTGAGCCTGAGATAGTGCCGTTGCGCTCCAGCCTGGACAAAAAGAGTAAAACTCCATCTCAAAAAAATTAAAAAGACACAAAAGGCATGAAGTGGGCAGCAAGTGCAGAGAAGACTCCAGGCAGGGGACATGTTCGATGGCTCTTTAATGGCCCAGGCCTTGAAATGGGCAAGTCTAGCTGGGGTACTCGTAATAGAGGAGAATGATCTGTGTATGTGTTGACTTTGAAAGTGAAATTATCCATTTGATACCTTATGCCAAATTCTTAGTCTTTTAAATTCTGTTGCAGTACTAGTTGTTTGACGGTCTTGTTTATAATCCTTTTTAGAAGACTTTTCATTCTTACATTTTTTTTTATACCAGAGCTTCAACTCTCTGTTTCTTAGCATTTCTCACTCTCCTGCTTTGGAGCAGACTGAAAGGAAAATAGGCATTATTTCATCTGATTTAATGTTCATTTGTAGTTATTTTTGTTATATTTTTCATTCATATTTCATTTATGTTCTGAAGTCATATTAACATTTGTTTTTCTGTGATGTATTAGTCTGTTTTCATAATTTTCATTACTTCAAGTTGAAATCCCAAATACCTCCTACATCCTCCTCCTCTCTTTGTTTTTAAATAGATTTCAGAGCAGGAAAAGCATCCGATAAGCATGTGTGTCACTTGGTTTGGTTGGATTTATTGATGCAAGTGTCTACTTTGTCTTTTGTCTTATGTTGAAATATCAGCATATACCAAATGGAAAGACAGGAATAATAATAGGAACTAGGTTCTATTTGCCTTTCTAATTGGAATAAACACTCTTAAGCTTTGTGGCCACCAGTTTTTATCAGTTTTTTACAAAAGTAAGAGCTACAAAATAATGAAAGAAGAAAATACAAATGTGATAGGACTTTGCTAGTTTGCTTGAAATATAAAGTGTTAAAGCTATAATTTACCTTTTACTTATGCATTTCTGAATTAGGTTTTGAACTCTAGGAGCAAAAGCAAACCCTTTAGGCATCAACTGTCATCTTCTTCCTTAACATTTATGTTGATGCCCAGTCAGAGTCTCCTCTAGGCTTAGAACTCAAAAATTTCTGGCTGCACAGCCTCTCTGCTTATATGTGGCTGCTGACCTCACCTTGTTAGTCACTCTGCCTAATTTAAAATAGTCCTTTTTAAAATTTTTATTTATTTATTTATTTATTTATTTATTTTTTGAGACAGAGTCTCACCCTGTCACCCAGACTGGAAAACTGTGTGCAATTTCGGCTCACCACAACCTCCACCTCCCCGATTCTCCTTCCTCAGCCTCCCAAGTAGCTGGGACAACAGGTGCATGCCACCATGCCCGGCTAATTTTTATGTTTTTAGTAGAGACAGTGTTTCACCATGTTGGCCAAGCTGGTCTCGAACTCCTGACCTCAGGTGATCTGCCTGCCTCAGCCTCCCAAAAAGCTGGGATTATAGGCCTGAGCTACCATACCCAGCCAATAATAGTCTTTGTGATGGAGTCTTGCTCTGCAGCCTAGGCTGGAGCGCAGCGGCGCGATCTCAGCTCACTGCAACCTCCACCTCCCGGGTCCCGGTTCAAGCAATTCTCCTACCTCAGCCTCCCAAGTAACTAGGATTATAGACACAAGCCACCATGCCCAGCTAATTTTTGTATTTTTTAGTAGAGATGGGGTTTCACCATGTTGGCCAGTCTGGTCTTGAACTCCTGACCTCGTGATCCACCCGCCTCGGCCTCCCAAAGTGCTGGGATTACAGGCATGAGCCACCGCACTCAGCCAATAGTCATTTCTTAAAATAACAATAAAGACCCATAATGCTGTGATAAGGAATTTATTTTAGAGTTATTAACTGTATTTTGGCCCATTTCCCTTTCCTTTTTTGTCTCCTGGTTTCTGTTTTACCTATTGGGAAAAAGGAAACTTTTTATAGTCTCTTAAATTAAAAGGTTAAGCTCTTTAATGGGCTCCTCCTCAAATCTGTCCCTAGCTGCATTCATAGAGCAGTATCTTGAAAGTCTGCTTCCAGTTGTTACTCTTCTCCCTACAGTAGTTAAGTTTTAGAGCGTGATTTGGTGTGTGTTGGTCTTCGTCAGCAGCTCTGCCAAGCATTTGCATTTGTTCATTCATTATCTGTGCTGAAAAGGCAGCTGGAGGCAAATCTCAGAGGATAGGACTGAGAAGGGGTCTTAAGACAATGCCAGGAGTCAGCTTACAGTTGCAGGAAGATGTTCTGAGTGAATCTGAAAGCCAGCTTCTCTCTCCATGGGATGCTCTGATATTTGTCTCCTGGTTTTTGTCTCTAGGGCATTTGTTTACCTGAGCAATCTGCTGTATCCCGTGCCCCTGATCCACAGGGTGGCCATTGTCAGTGAGAAGGGTGAAGTGCGCGGATTTCTGCGTGTGGCTGTACAGGCCATCGCAGGTAGGTGACCCTCTTCTGAAATGAGAGCTGTGAGTTCTTTGTCTAGAGACAAAGCAAGCAAACTCTGTGTGGGTCACGCTTATATTACACATACAAACTGTGAGGATCTTGTCTTCTTTGGAGAGAGCCTTCTTTGCTCCTTTGTAGCAGTTGTTCCCAAGTATCATAAATAGATCCTGCTTAGTCCATACTACTGCTGTTTTGGAATAATGAGGTAAAGAGATTTCCTTTAGCATGTTAAAGATCAGCTCTTACATTAATTATATAAAAGTCATTGCCCTTTTTTTATTTTGAGACAAGGTCTCACTTTGTCGCCCAGGCTGGAGTGAAATGGTGCATGCTTCACCTCCAGGCTCAGCCATCCTCCCACCTCAGCCACCTGAGTAGCTGGGACTACCAAGCACACACCACCATGCCCAGCTAATTTTTAAGTTTTTTGTAGAGTTGGCGTCTCATTATGTTGCCCAGTATAGTCTCAAACTCCTGAGCTCAAGTGATCTTCCTGCCCTAGCCTCCCAGAGTGCTGGGATTACAGGTGTGGGACATTGCACTCAGCCAGTCATTGGCCTTTTGTTTTGTTTTATTTCATTTTGGTTTTTTGAAACATAGTCTTGCTCTGTTGCCCAGGCTGGAGTGCAGTAGCACGATCTTGGCTCACTGTACCCTCTGCCCCCTGGGTTTAAGCAATCTCCTGCCTCACCCTCCAGAGTAGCTGGGACTACAGACACCCACCGCCATGCCCAGCTAATATGGTATTTTTAGTAGAGATGGGGTTTCTCCACGTTGGTCAGGCTGGTCTCAAACTCCTGACCTCAGGTGATCCACCTGCCTCAGCCTCCCAAACTTTGTGCTGGGATTACAGGTGTGAGCCAATGCTCCTGGCCCGTTTTGTTTTGTTTTGTTTTGAAATTGAGTCTCGCTCTATTGCCCAGGCTACAGCACAGTGATGCAATCTCGACTTATGTCAATCTCCACCTCCTGAGTTCAAGTGATTCTCATGCCTCAGCCTCCCAAGTAGCTGGGATTATAGGCACCCGCCACCAAACTCAGCTAATTTTTGTATTTTTATTAGACGTGGGGTTTCACTATGTTGGCCAGGCTGGTCTCAAACTCCTGACCTCAAATGATCGGCCCACCTCAGCCTCCCAAAGTGTTGGGATTACAGGTGTGAGCCACCGCACCTGGCCTGGCCTAAATAATGTATCTTGATAAACTGTTTCATTAGTAACAAAGAATTTTTAGGCCTTTGTCTTGCTTTGTTTTTTTTCCTCAGGGTACTTATAATAGACATTTGTTTGGCTGCTGTTTTGTAATGCATGGGTCAAGTTGATATAAGCTGGGTGTGGTGGCTCGAGCCTGTAGTCCCAGCTACTTGGTAGGCTGAGGCAGGATTGCTTAAGCCCAGGAATTTGAGGCCAACCTGGGCAACATAATGAGATCCCCATCTCTTAAAAAAAAAAAAATTGAAAACAAAGATTTTAGTATTTTCCATTTTTCTATGATCCAGCCTGTTCTGAGGAAAAAATGTGGTCATTTTCTGTAATCTTTCTGTCTTAATTCTCAAATTCTGTGCTGTGTCCAGTGACCTTTCAGCCTTTCCTCCATGGAAACCTATGACACAATCACCAGTGTTGAGTATGTAGAAGTTTCCTTTATAAGTACAATATAATATTTTCAAATACTTCTTGGGTATTATTGACTATTGCCAGCATGGAAGGAGTCAGTATTTCTAGGTATGACATTTGAACAATCATAAGAATAAAGGTGATTCTTTGTTGACCAGTCTTATTTGAACTGAGGGAGTTGGATAAATCTATATGAATAGAGCGTGAAGCAGCCCGTGCAGTTTTATTACTTTGGTATCATTTTCTCATGCAAAAGGATTTTATTTTATGATCCAGTAAGAGCCTTTTCCCTTCCTCCCCCTGTGTCGTCTCACTCAATTCTTGCTAATTTTTTTTCTGCTTCAGCGGATGAAGAAGCTCCTGATTATGGTTCTGGAATTCGACAGTCAGGAACAGCTAAAATATCTTTTGATAATGAATACTTTAATCAGGTGAGAAACCATCAGGAAGAAGGAAAACCCTGTGGAAAGAGAAAGAAGTAGAATGAATTTAGGAGGAAAACGTTCAGCATTGGAGATCAGTTCCCCTACAAAACTGAAAAATATGTAGGGTGTTGGTTGCCAGAGAGTAGTTGCATAAAATGTGGAACATGCCTAACAATTATGAAGGTAAAGGTGTACAGACCCAATATTCATGTTTTATGCGTTGCCTTTCCTCAGACAGCGCTCAGTCCATATAATTTTCCAATCACTATTTATTTGTTGAGCAGATGACAGAAGTAAGGCAACTGGGGGAAAATATGTATTTGTACTACTTTATCATGTACCTGCTCCTGCCTTGTTTTCAGAGTGACTTTTCATCTGTTGCAATGACTCGTTCTGGTCTATCCTTGGAGGAGTTGAGGATTGTGGAAGGACAGGGTCAGAGTTCTGAGGTTATCAGTCCTCCAGAAGAAGTCAATCGAATGAATGACCTGGGTATGTCGAGAGAGTTTACTGTGCTTGGGGACATTTTCAACAAAGGGAAAATACCATTATCAAGGGACATAGTGACCTTCATCAACTAGGAATGGAAAGAATGCCCAGTTCCCTCCTCTGCATTATTTGAACCATCTGTGTGTTCATTTGACCCTCTTTAGATTTGAAGTCAAGCACTTTGCTGGATGGTAAGATGGTAATGGAAGGGTTTTCTGAAGAGATTGGCAACCACCTGAAACTGGGCAGTGCCTTCACTTTCCGAGTAACAGTGTTGCAGGCCAGTGGAATTCTCCCAGAGTATGCAGATATCTTCTGTCAGTTCAAGTAAGCTGCCCCTTTGCTCTGCCTCCCAGCTAGCTGCTAACCAAGGTGACATCTTTTGTGCACTGCAGAGTGCTTTATGGGTATGAGGGATTAACCCTCTTGAGAAAAAGACTAACCAGTCTCTGAAGGAAAACGCTTTCATCACTCCGATGGGAGTGAGAACCGGAAACCTGTCCTGGAATGCAACAGGGTTCCCTGGTGAGAGGAGCATGCCACATGTCCTACTACAGGGGTCTGCTGTGGGTGGACCCCCTTTACCAGGAATGGAGGGTCTGATCAGATAAGCCTGTTGATGAGTCTGTCTAGTCCTCTTCATGTTGAAAAGTGTTAGTAATAAGTCTGAAAACAATGACTTATCTAGCCACCAGTTATGCCTATTTAATACTTGGGGAAAAGGCAAATTTAAACAGTGTAAAGAAGGATAAATTCTATGTCAACTGAAAAAAGCTAGTATATAGAGAAGATGTGACACCTCTCATTTCTCATCTTTGTCGGACTTGCTCTGCCCTACAGCCCTCTCAGACCCAGTGCTCTGGATGCTTTCTTCTCAAGACTGCCCCAGGAAAACAGTTTTTTGGGAATCTTTTTTTTTTAATTGTACTTTAGGTTCTGGGGTACATGTGCAGATTTTTTTTTGGAATCTTAAGTTTTAATACCTCCAAACTTCAGTATGTCGTTTCAGTACTTGGAAAGGGCCACAGTAGGAGATTGAAGTCTCACCCCTCCATACCTACAGCCCTTAGTTTGCCACTGGTGCCACCAAGAGGCTGCTTTGGGTTCTGCCATCCCTCTCCCCTCAGAATGTGCCTTGGCCTTCCCGAAGGTCCTAGTGCAGTTTGCAAAGCTTTTGTATAGGTTTTATCCCAGAAAATTGAGTTAAATGTGATCTGAATTAAATGTGATCACTATATAGTAAGCCACTAATATCATTTGCTACAACTCATAATTGTTGAAATATTACCCAATGAGCACTGATTGCACCTATTTAACGTGTTTTCACTCACACCCTCAAACTTAGGACAGGATAGTGTTGACCAGATTAATCTGTTTTTTGGAACTGTCACTATTATTCTAATCAGGCAACTGATACTTTTTATGGAAAACATCTATTTGGTTAACTGATGTCTGAAGTGACAATAATAGTGAGTTGGCCTTTGTTCTAAAATCTCCTAAAAAGAGCAGCATCTCTGCCTGGTGTTAGCTCTGGAGGAAAGAGCATGTTGCTTGTATTGAAAGGAGCCTCAGGCCAGGCACAGTGGCTCACACCTATAATCATAGCCCTTTGGGAGGCTGAGGCTGGTGGATCACCTGAGGTCAGTTTCACCAGCCTGACCAACATGGTGAAACCCCATCTCTACTAAGAATACAGAAGTTAGCCGGGCATGGTGGCACATGCCTGTAATCCCAGCTACTCAGGAGGCTGAGGCAGGAGAATCGCTTGAATCCGAGAGACAGAGATAATCGCCTGAACCCAGTAGACAGAGGTTGCGGTGAGCCGAGATCATGCCATCACACTTCAGTCTGGGCAACAACAGCAACCGCAAAAAAGCCTCAAAGGCTTAGAGTCGCTCCTCTGGCCTGTTCTGGGAAGGTATAGCTGCAGAGCACCGTGAACGTGAATGAGTTCACCTGTCGCCAGGGAACTCCAAGAGTGCTGCAGTGCCAGCAGTACAGGCATCAGGGATTTGGAGCACTTCGCAAAAGCATGCTAGTGTTCTCAGACATGGTGAACTAATTTGGACGACAAGTTCATACTACTGGTCTCTCTCGCTCCCCCCATTCAAAATATTTTCTTTTTCTCCATTTTTTCTTGACAGAAGTGGTGTCCTTCTGATGGATTTTTCTGTCTGGCAGTAAATCTTTTTGTTGGGGGTCCTCTTTAACTGTGCAGTTCTTTTTATTTCAGACTAATAATAGAGAGAGAGAGAGAGAGAGAGAATCTCACTGTCTGAGAAGAACTAAATATAACCCATTGGTTCGACAGATTTTTCCAGAGTATCTTCTTGCATCGAGACCTGTGGGAAAACACTTGCTGTCTGGTGGGGAGAGAGGCATATAAATACATTATTACAGTGAAATCATTGCTATTAAGGAAAAATAGGTTACTAATAAAGTGGAACACAAAACTGTCAGAGTAAGTAAGGGAAGACTTCCTGGAAGAGGTGACATTTGAATCCACAACAGACTCAGGTTACTTATGCAGCCACAGGCTTTTGAACTAAGCTTGAGTCTGCCATATTTTTTCTATTTAAAATGACATTGTTTTTATTTTTTAGTAAAAAGCTTTTACAAAGGAAGAGGAGTTAATTGAATTTACTTTTCACTCTCTCTAAAGCATTCTTGCATATACATCCATATAGCTAAGTGATGAGGGTCAGTTAATTTTTCAGTCATTTTTGAAAGAAAATCTAAAATGCTCTCTGTGTGATAGGGAAAAGGTTCTTGACAAGGGAATGTAATTAAAGAATTGCTTAAGTGGAATGCTTCTTTCTCTAGGATCCAACTTGGGCTCTTAAAACAGATTCTGATAAAATCATTTAATGCAGCATTAACGAGTCTTTTTATTTTTTTTTAATGAAGCTTTTTGCATCGCCATGATGAAGCATTCTCCACAGAGCCCCTCAAAAACAATGGCAGAGGAAGTCCCCTGGGCTTCTATCATGTGCAAAATGTAAGTGATGTGGACATTTTTGCCAAACATAGATTTTCTGGTACCATGGCTTTCTCAGCCCAGGAAGGGTGATAAGAAGAGGTACAAGTCTCTGGCTGTGCAGGGGGAGAGTAGACAATAGAGGGTGTGGCTAGAGTGTGGACAATAGAGGGTGAGGTCATCCACAGTGGTCTGAGCAGCACGCCTTCTTGTCTCAATTACAATGGGCCTAGTGAGTGGAATGTGGGTTGGTCTGCCAATAAAATCTTCCATCAGTTTGAATGCAGTGAGTTGTTTTAGTGTTTCTGTCCTAGAAAAATAAGCATGCTTAATAAGAGTTTGTTAAAGTGAATGCATTCTCCTTTTAACTCTGATAGTTATGTTGCTCGATTGCAAATAACATAAAAAATATTAAATACCTTCTGTAGCTAAATTAAGATTTAGAGTCTGTTTTCCTTGCAACCGATAGTATGATTAACACTTTAATGCCCTTTACAACTGTCTTCCCACGTGGAGTAAGAAAACAGACCTTCCATCTTTAACATGAAATTTCACTCAAACTCTATTCCAAAGTCATCATCCTCATCACAATAGCTAACATTCACTAAGAGTTTATTTTGTGTTAGTCACTGTTTTGAGAGTTTTTGTGTAATTTAATTTTTACCTTTATACCAATGATTAGGATAATCCCTGTGTGAGCTGAGATAACTGAAGCATAGAGCAATTAAAGTCACTCATCAGGCCGGGAACTGTGGTTCACATCTCTAATCCCAGCACTCTGGGAGGCTGAGGCGGGTGGATCGCTTGAGGTCAGGAGTTTGTGACCACCCTGGCCAATATGGTGAAACCCTGTCTGAGGCATGAGAATCGCTTGAACCCAGGAGAGGGAGGGAGGTTGCAGTGAGTCTAGATTGTGCCACTGCACTCCAGCCTGGGCAACAAAGGGAAACTACATCTCAAAAAAAGAATATAAATAAATAATAAAAATAAAGTTACTCATCAGTGCTACAAGAGGCAAAGATGGGACATAAACCCAGAGAAATGTAGCTCTAGCATTCAGGATCTTCACTACTACATGAAACTGCTTCTCATTCTCTTGCTAACCCTGTTTGCTCTCTAAGAGAGGAAAGGAGAATTCCAAAGATGGAACAAACAAACACAAAATATGCTATCTTCTTTTTCATGCTCGTATAAATATAAGCAAGCATGTATCTGATAAACTTTGATCGGCTGCTGTGCACAAGGATTGTGCCTGACAACTGGGAAATGCAGGTGAATCTCAGATGCTCCCAAGGAGCTTAGAATTATGATAAGGGAAATGAAATGCATATGTTAAAAGCAGGCGTGCAAGATGGACATGAGAAAATATTCACTAAATGCAGTGGGAATGGAGTGGGAGTAGAAAAAGGGAAACTTTTTTTTTTTTTATCTTGAGACGAAATCTCACTCTGTTGCCCATGCTGGAGTGCCGTGGCATGATCTTGGCTCACTGCAACCTCTACCTCCCAGGTTCAAGTGATTCTCCTGCCTCAGCCTCCTCAGTAGCTGGGATTGTAGGCGCCCACCACCATACCCAGTGAATTTTTTATATTTTTAGTAGAGATGGGGTTTCACCATGTTAGCCAGGATGGTCTTGATCTCCTGACCTCCTGATGCCTGCCTTGGCCTCCCAAAGTGCTGGGATTGCAGGTGTGAGCCACCATGCCCAGCAAAAAAAATTTTTAATTAGCCAAGCATGGTGGTGCATGCCTATAGTCCTAGCTACTCAGAAGGCTGAGGCAGGAGGATTGCCTGAGCCCAGGAGGTTGAGGCCGCATGAGCTTTTTTCATGCCCCTGCATTCCAGCCTGGACTACAGAGCGAGACCTTGTCTCAAAAGAAAACCCCAAAAAATAATACTAAAGTTCTGATTGAAGCAAAATGTGTATTTTCTTAAAATCTTTTCCTAATCTTCCTTGGCTTTAGATCGCAGTGGAGGTCACTGAATCATTTGTGGATTATATCAAAACCAAGCCTATTGTATTTGAAGTCTTTGGGCATTATCAGCAGCACCCACTTCATCTGCAAGGACAGGAGCTTAACAGGTTTGGATCAGATGAACAAACATTTTTGATGATGTTTTGATTTTTAGTTTCTCGTTTGCTGGAAAGGAAGAAATCTTTTGAGGGATTAAGATAACTAAGTTTTCCATATGTCCTTTTTCCTCTTTAGAAGTTTTACTGTCATCTTTTAGCCACCTAATCACTGACTTTAGATGGAGCAAATTGTATTTTGACCGGGTGACCTCAAATACCATATTTTTGTAGGAAGAGACTTTGAATATAGTAGAAATTTGAGGTGATAGGAATATAACATGAAAATTATATATAATTGTTCCTAATGCCCACAGCTTTATGCAACAGAAGTTCTAAGTACAGTCATCAAAACTGCTGAGGAAAGCAACAGTGGGGCCTTTGTGATGATGGCAGAATGTTGGTGTTGACAGGAGAATTTTCCTATTTCATTTATTAGCTAAGACTTAGAGGGAGACATTTTTAAAATGAGATTTAGCCTGTTTCACCATCTAGGATTATTTCTATTATCTGGCATTATGTCAGAGTTGAAAATGCAAAAGTCTGCTTCTCTAAAGGGAATTCAAACATGCTATTGATATAAACGTCCAAGTCTTTGTAGTCTTTTTCTTTCCCTTAAAAAAACAGAGTTTCTTGATTTCTACACTGCAAATAGTCATTACAAAAAGTTTTTCTTCTTTTACATAAATTCACACAAAGAGAAGTAGAAAGCGATGATAATGACCAGCAAGAGGAATGATAATTACTTTTATCTTAATGTCTGTGTGCCAGTTCTGTTTACATTAACATTGGAAAACTCCAACATGGAATCCAGAACCTCAAATCTGCAAGTGGAATGTCTTGAGATAGGCACATGAAGTCAAAGTTTCTTTTTCCCCACTTTTAGGAGCTATACAGAAAAAGCTGTTTGCCCTCCGTACTGTCACAGAACTTTTACATACATTCTCACACCTAGTTGTGAAAGGACTAAAGAGAAGGAAATTCAATTTGCAGTCCAGCACAAAGAGCAGAATTTCTAAAATAAATAACTTTATACTTTTGAGCTTTGTATTCCTTTCTTTGCAGTCCGCCTCAGCCGTGCCGCCGATTCTTTCCTCCACCCATGCCGCTGTCTAAGCCAGGTGAGCACTCGCTTCAGTTTCTGCATGATGATCTCTGTGTGAATACATTCTTATTCTGAATGACTTTTCAAATATAAGTCGTGTTTGAATTCCTGTTCTTCTATGTATCCACACTTATTCCTGCCGCTCTTGTATATATCTAGTAGGAACTACAATTCCTAGTTCCTGATTTAAAATAATAAGTAAGGGCCGGGCGCAGTGGCTCACGCCTGTAATCCCAGCACTTTGGGAGGCCAAGGCAGGTGGATCACCTGAGGTCAGGAGTTCGAGACCAGCCTGGCCAACCTGGTGAAACCCCGTCTCTACTAAAAATACAAAAGTTAGCCAGGCATGGTGGCACATACTTGTAATCCTAGCCGTTTGGGAGGCTGAGTTAGGAGAATCACTTGAACTGGGGAGATGGAGGTTACAGTGAGCCAAGATCACAACATTGCACTCCAGCATGGGCAACAAGAGCAAAATTCTCAAAATAAAAAGTAAGAAACAGTACGGAGCCTTATCTACCAACTCTCTGATCTTCTATTTACAGATTTTGATAATCACTCTGTTCCTAAATCTTTGTGCTTTGTATATAACTTCCTATAACTGTCAGGTGACTAGGCATTTCTTTGCATAGAAAATTGATTCTTCATGTTCAATGATCTTATTTTGATTTTTCTTTGTTCACTTTTGTCCTTTTTCCTCACTGCCCATTCGCCCACTTCCCACCCCACCCTATGCTGACTCTCCACCCTCTATATTCCCCATCTTCATCTGCCTTCAGACCATGAGAGAAAGATTGAGCTGATTCGGTTTCTCGTGTCTGGCTATGTGAATGTGCATGTGTTGGACACATTTTCTGAGCACGCCAGCGTGCTTGCATCCTCCGCTATTGCCACCTTCCAGGATGAGGCTGACCCATTGCCGCCTTTTCTCTTTCTGCCAGTTCCCAGCTGCCAGAGTGAGAGGGTACCCAAACGAGATGGTTAGTAGCTGAATTAGCTCAACCTTAGATGTAGAACCAACCTCAGGCACTTTTCCTGAAGCCTGGCTCTTTGCATATGAAACACTGACATTTTGGTTTGCAACTTGAGCTGAGTATACAGTCCAGCATATTTTCAAGATTGTATCACATTTTCTTCCTAGAGATTTGGGAAGCACCTTCTCTACATGTCCCTCTTTCACATCACCAAAGCAGCGGGGAGGTCCATGCATTTGTTTGTATGGATTGTTTGCAATAGTATTGTTAATTTTGAAGATTTTACTAGTAGTTGGTTTTGTTAGAATACTTCTGGTATTGCTTTCTGAGATGACTTCCAGGATTACTTACCCTGTTTTCTTTCTCACTAGCATCACCAACTCATGTGAAACTCAGCGGGGCTGAATACTGCTGATAGGGTACACATATGAATAGTGCTAAATAATTCATAAAGCCCCTTTATATACATTATGTTAGTGGATCTTCATGATTGCTTTTCAAGATAGCAGGCTAAATATTATGATCTACAGTTTATAAATGAGGAGACAGACTCCCAGAGGTTAAACAGCTTAACTAAAGTCACATAGCATCAGTACAGTTGAGAATATGGATTTTAAATCTGGCCGGGTGTGGTGGCTTGCACCTGTAATCCCAGCAATTTGGAAGGTTGAGTCGAACAGATTGCTTGAGCTCAGGAGTTAAAGACCAGCCTGGGCAACATGGTGAAACCCTGTCTCTACAAAAAATGTAAAAATTAGCTGGGAGCAGTGGTACACACCTTTGGTCCCAGCTACTCAGGAGGCTAAAGTGGGAGGATGGTTTGAGCCCAGGGGGCACAGGTTGTAGTGAGCCAAGATCACGCCATAAAAAAGAAAGAATATGGAATTTAAATCTGAAGAAAATGTGTAATATAAGATCATTTACAGACCCTGTATTTATAAATTAGACCAGTGGTTCCCAACTTTGTCCTCACATTGGTATCACCTGGGAAAATTTACACCTCATGGAGGAAGAAGTGTGTCTTTCTCCTAGAGATTATGATTTAATTGATCTGGGGTGTGTCCTGGACTTTAAGGTCCCCAGGTGCTCCTATGTGCAGGGAGGTTTGGGAACCACTGGGGTGGAGGATGGGTCTTTTCTCTAGGACACCAGCTTTGATTGAGTCCCTGTGACGTGTGAGGCTTTCTAAGCGTTGTCTCTCCCACATTAGTCCCATGCTCTGCATGCCACACAGTGTGAGATTCAGGAATGGGAAGGTTTTGTGAGCACATTCATTCTGCACAAAAGCTGTTTTCTCATCATTAGAGGCAGTTTGTTGATAGAAAAGATACTGATTCTTCATTTTCCTTGTTCTCTGAATTCAGCGATAACTAATAACTTACAAAGTTGATATTGGTATTTCTCTGAGTCTTTTGCATTGAAATCTTTCCTCTGACTCTTGCTGCCTTTCCCAAGTGTGTCATTAAAGACTGGTATTAGAGAAGCTTGTACTTTTGCTAGGTAGTCTTGGACCAGATTTTGACATATTCTAAAAACTTTTCAAAGTTCCAGCCACCAAGTTAAACACCATGAGCAAAACCAGCCTTGGCCAGAGCATGAGCAAGTATGACCTCCTGGTTTGGTTTGAGATCAGTGAACTGGAGTCTACAGGAGAGTAAGTCCAACTTAATAAACTTTTATATAAGAGAAAATGTTTCAAATTAGGAAATGTAATTTTGAGTCTTCTTGTATTTGGGTTAATTAGTGGTTGTCATTATCAAATTCCAGGAATGATTTTGTTTTTGTTTAAATAGAGATGCAGTCTTGTTATGTTGAACAGGTAGGTCTTGACCACTCCTGCCCTCAAGCAGTCCTCCTGCCTCAGTCTCCCAAAGTGCTGAGATTACAGGCATAAGCCACCACACCTGGCCAAATTCCAGTTTTGAATTGATTTTTGGTGGTCTTGGTATTTGAATCAGGTGCTTATCAGAGAACTGACTGTTCAGCATAACAATTTGCCCTCTTGTTAGCAACAGTAAGATCATGGAGACTGGCATCTTTTTTTTTTTTTTTTTTGAGACAGAGTCTTGCTCTGTTGCCCAGGCTGGAGTGCAATGGCATGACCTCACTGCAACCTCTGCCCCCCAGGTTCAAGTGATTCTCCTGTCTCAGTGTCCTGAGTAGCTGGGATTGCAGATGTGTGCCTGTAATTTTTGTATTTTTAGTAGAGGTGGGGTTTCACCATGTTGGCCAGGCTGGTCTTGAACTTCTGACCTCAGGTGATCCACCCATCACAGCCTCCCAAAGTGCTGGGATTACAGGCGTGAGCCACCACACCCAGTGGTACCTTGTTACAAGGATTTTATCATAGTGGGTTTTAGCAGTAGTAAAACAAATGGAGCATATTGCATAGAATATGTTAAAGACTTAACATTACTAATGTCAGGGAGGACATAGAAGGGCAGAATATTTCCCTAGACTAGGGTTTCTCAATCTCAACACTGTTTGGAGCCGGATAATTCTCTGTTGTGAGGGGCTATCCTGTGCATTTAGAATATTTTGCACCATCCCTGGCCCCTACCCACAAGATGCCAGTAGCAGCTCCACTCTATTTGTGACAACCAAAAATGTCTTCAGACATTGCCAAATATCCCCCAGGGAGCCATCCTCAGTTGAGAACCACTGTCCTGGATCAAAATGATACCATCAGCTTACTCTGTCTCCATGAGCTGAGTTAGAGTAAATTATTAATGTAATTATTGTGTAAAATTGTCTCTAAAAATGCTTTTGGAAAAACACAAATGAAATAGAACTTACTCTTAGGACAGAGCCAAGAGGCTGTACCAGTTAATGTAAAGGGTAGGGTAAATGTTATCGTAATGTTCCCCTATAAGTAATTCTGAGAACCACCATCATGATCATCATCAGGAAACACTTATTAAGTTCCTACTGTGTATAGGATACCATGTTAAGTGTGGTTCTGTCCATCTTGAATGTAGTTGTCAGTAGTGACAGTGCTTTGAGGAATTTGACTTTTCATAGACAGACCTATAATGTGATTACTAGTTGTATTATGAAGGAGACGTAGTTACAGTAATTGTTTCTACTGAATTAATTGCTTTCGGAATCTTAAAAAAAAACTATAGTCTGAAATTATCTGTGTTTCTTATCTCTTGTCAATTACACTTCTGCATTATTTATTGGATACTCAATATCTAGGGGCTGGATGCCACCAAAAGATGTTACTGTCCCATGAGCACTCGGTCTAGTGAGGACTGAGACACAGATGTGTGGAAAGGATTAGTAAATGCAGATGACTATATGATTAAATGCCAGCATGGGTGAGAAAGACATGGGATCAGAATTTAGAAAAACAAAGACCACCAGGGACTAACCCTTGCAGTTGAAGTAGCACTTAGTTCTTTCTTTTGCATTTCTATTTTTGTAGGTATATCCCAGCCGTGGTTGACCATACAGCAGGCTTGCCCTGCCAGGGGACATTTTTGCTTCATCAGGTACTAATGAGGGACCAAAATAGGCCTAGGAGGGAACAATTAAAAGAGTTTAGAATAAGAGACAGAACTCTTTATTTTTGTTTTTCATCTCTATTTCAAGGGGCGGATGGGCCATTGTCCTGTTGTCCTTTTTTTCTGTGTTTTTTGATATTTCTTTCTTAGACCTTGACTTATATTTACCCTTGCTTTTATATAGCTATTTAGTTATTTTGAAAAATATTTTATTTCATTCAATTACTCTAATTTGTGTAGCTCTTCTGTCACTTTTAATACTTTTCATGGGCCGGGCGCGGTGGCTCACGCCTGTAATCCCAGCACTTTGGGAGGCCGAGGCGGGTGGATCACGAGGTCAAGAGATCGAGACCATCCTGGTCAACATGTTGAAACTCCGTCTCTACCCAGCTACTCAGGAGGCTGAGGCAGGAGAATTGCCTGAACCCAGGAGGCGGAGGTTGCGGTGAGCTGAGATCTCGCCATTGCACTCCAGCCTGGGTAACAAGAGCGAAACTCCATCTCAAAAAAAAAAAAAAACTTTTCATTTCATGATGTTTGGAAGCTCTGTGCTTTCATGCCAGAAGTTCTTAATAGGGGTTGAGGATGAAGGTTTCAGTGGACTAAAAATTGAATGCCTTTTTAAAGAAATAATTTTTTTTTTTTTTTTTTTTTTTTGTGATGGAGTTTTGCTTTTGTTACCCAGGCTGGAGTGCAATGGCGTGATCTCGGCTCACTGCAGCCTCTACCTCCTTGGTTCAGGCAATTCTCCTGCCTCAGCCTCCTGAGTAGCTGGGATTACAGGCACATGCCACCATGCCCAGCTAATTTTTTGTATTTTTAGTAGAGATGGGGTTTTACCATGTTGACCAGGATGGTCTCAATCTCTTGACCTCGTGATCCACCCGCCTCGGCCTCCCAAAGTGCTGGGATTATAGGCTTGAGCCACCGCGCCCAGCCCCAAGATAAAATTTAAAAAAAAAAAAAAATTGATTATGGCTACTAAAAATACAAAATATTAGCTGGGCATGGTGGCACGTGCCTGTAATCCCAGCTACTCAGGAGGTTGAGGCAGGAGAATTGCCTGAACCCAGGAGGCAGAGGTTGCAGTGAGCCGAGATCATGCCATTGCACTCCAGCCTGGATAACAAGAGTGAAACTCTGTCTCAAAAAAAAAAAAAAAAAAAAAAATTGATTATGAAATAGGTCCCTTTTGGTAAATCAAGGGTAGATTCAGTCAGTGTTCAAAAGTACTTATGACTCAAGTGGGCATAGGGGCTAGGGATGCCATACACTGGGACATACAATCAGGGCATGATTGAATACTTATTATGCAGGGTGCTGGCATGCAGCCACGTAATCTCCTGTGACAGATTATGGTTTTATTCTTAACACCATAGAGAAAAAGAATCTTAAAAAAAGAAAGGAAAAAACCATATCAGAACCTGACTGTTCCTCAGTCCCTGACACATCTCCCTTTGTTTTGAATAACAGTGTGGGTAGCATTTTCCCTCTTTCCATACCTCTCCTTCCTGTTTATCCCCCATGCCATGCCATACAGCCCAGAAAACAACAGACGAAGGAAATAATAGATTGCTCCAGCTAAACTGCAACCCTGCTTCATTACCTAGGGCATTCAGCGAAGGATCACAGTGACCATTATCCATGAGAAGGGGAGTGAGCTCCATTGGAAAGATGTTCGTGAACTGGTGGTAGGTGAGTACATTTCCTGAGTCAAGGATAGAGCCAGGACTTCGAGTTTTTTTTTTTTTTTTTGGAGACAGGGTCTTGCTCTGTCACCCAGGCTGGCGTACAATGATGAGATCATAACTCCCTGTGGCCTCAAACTCCTGGGCTCAAGTGATCCTCCTGCCTCAGGCTCCCGAATAGCTGGGACCACAGGTGCGAGCCACTGTGCCCTGTTAGAGATATTATTCTTCCCTGTTTGCAGTACAGGGAATGTGTGGAAGGCCATATTGGAAAACACAGACTATGGAGATGTAGAGGCCTTGAGTTTGAAACTGTATTCCTGTTTCTCCGCTTCATCATTAGTGATACGTTATCCAACTAACTGTTACTTTACTCAATTACCATGGTATATGGTTCTGTGGTAAAGGCTGTGAGAGGACATAAAAGAAATCTCTGCTGGCTGGGTGTGGTGGTGGCTCATGCCCATAATCCCAGCACTTTGGGAGGCTGAAATGGGTGGATTACTTGAGCCCAGGAGTTCAGGGCCAGCCTGGGCAAGGTAGCAATATCCCGTCTCTACAAAAAAAAATATGAAAATTATCTGGGCATGGTGGCATGCACCTGTGGTCCTGGCTACTCAGGAGGCAGAGGCAGGAGGATCGCTTGAGCTTGGGAGGTGGAGGTTGCAGTGAGCTGAGATGGCACCACTGCATTCAAGCCTGGACAACACAATGGGTCTCTGTCTCAAAAAAGAAAAAAATCTCTGCTAATTGTGAGCTTGCAGTTTAGTTGGGGAGGCAGTATATATATGTGCAGAATGCTTTGGTGAGTAAGTAACACAATGAAGACAAGGGAAAATGTATGCTAAGAGACTTAATGATGAAAACCATCCAAAAGGACTGAATAGATTCAAGAAAAATTAGAGGGGTTTTATTTTTTTGTTTTCCAGACACAAGCATTTTGAGTAAGAGAGTCAGGAATATGCCTAAGATGCAAATGACAAGAAACCCCATGGCGAGAGTGGAGGAATTAAGGCATATTGGCTAGATAGTATGAACTTTAGAATGATAGTCTGAGGCAGGAGTTTGGAACTTTTGTTGCCATGGACCTCTTTGGCAGTTCTGAAGCCTCAGAATTATGTTTCCAAATGTGAAAAATAAAATATTTAGGATTATAAAGGAAACTGATAATATTGAAATACAGTTGTTAAAACATTAAGCTCTTCTTTATTGATTCATGAAATAACAAGATTTACCAGTTGTTTTAATTACCATAATTTCAAAGTAGTGATCAATGAAAACGATATTTTGCATATGGGAAATATCTGTGGATTCCACTAGGGACAGAGTTGCAGGTACTGCCAATTCTTCTGTGGTTTATTGCCTTCCTTCATAATTGAAGGAGATGCCAATTTTTAGTTAAAGGTTTGTGAAAGTAAAAATGTAATTTTCTCCCCATCTAAGCTCAAGGACCCTCTGAATCCTGTCCAGAGTGCTTGTGTCTCTATGGACCAGATTAAGAACCTTGGGGCCAGGCACAGTGGCTCACACCTGTAACCCCAGCACTTTGGGAGGCCAGGGCAGGCAGATCACTTACGTTGAGGAGTTCAAGACTAGCCTGGACAATATGGTGAAACTGTGTATTTACAAAAAATACAAAAATTAGCTGCGTGTAGTGGTGCATGCCTATAGTCCTAGCTACTCAGGAAGCTGAGGCTAGAGGATTGCTTAAACCTGAGAAGTCAAGGCTACGGTGAGCCATGATCATGCCATTGCACTCCAGCAGCCTGGGTGACAGAGTGAGACCCTGTCAAAAAAAAAAAAAAAGAATCATCATCATCATCCCCGGAAGGGAGATTATGTTCTCTCTTGTCTGGGGCAGCAGTGGTAATAGTTTTCAAAATTTTTTTATAATTAATTTTTTTTTTTTTTTGAGATGGAGTCTCGCTCTGTCACCCAGCCTGGAGTGCAGTGGCACAATCTTGGCTCACTGCAGCCTCGCTTGGCCTCTTGGGTTCAAGCAGTTCTCTTCCTCAGCCGCCCGAGTAGCTGGGATTACAGGCACCACACCCAGCTAATTTTTGTACTTTTAGCAGACATGGGGTTTCACCATGTTGGCCAGCCTGGTCTAGAACTCCTGACCTCTTGATCTGTCTGCCTCAGGCTCCCAAAGTGCTGGGATTACAGGTGTGAGCCACCACACCCGGCCTTTTTTCTTTTTTTTTTTTTTTTTTTTGAGATGGAATTTTGCTCTTGTTTCCCAGGCTGGAGTACAATAGTGCGATCTTGGATCACCACAACCTCGGCCTCCTGGGTTGAAGCGATTCTCCTGCCTCAGCCTCCCGAGTAGCTGGGATTACAGGCATGTGCCACCACACCTGGCTAATTTTATATTTTTAGTAGAGATGGGGTTTCTCCATGTTAGTCAGGCTGGTCTCAAATTCCTGACCTCAGGTGATCCATCAGCCTCCCAAAGTGCTGGAATTACAGGAGTGAACCACTGTGCCCGGCCTATTTTTTTTTTAATTTAGTTTTTTTTTTTTAACTTTATTTACAAAGCAGTGAATGTCCTTTGACAAAAGTAATATTTGTATGGAACACTAATACCAAAACAAAAGAGATACTTTCTGACCAGAGAAGGAGAGGCAGCAGTTACTATGGCTTCTCTGAAGAACTGTATGATTTATTTTTAGTTTGTTTTATTAACAAACTCTGATGTAGTATTTACCACATGCCAGGTGCTTTTCTGAATGCTTCAAAAATACTAGTTTATTTAATCCTCATAACAACCATATGTGGAAGGAATTGTTATTCTCACTTGACATATGAGGGAACTGAGGCTCAGAGAGGTTGAGCCTTAAGCCCAAATCCTCACTGGAGGCCAAGTCCTTAACCTCTATGCAATGCTGCATCTCCTAGTGTTAATTTGAAAACGGAGTGTAGGATTTTGACCAAGAAAGGGTGTAGTGGCATGTGCCTATAGTCCCAACTACTCAGGAGGCTGAGGCTTGAGGATTGCTTAAACCTGAGAAGTTTTAAGCAATAAAGTCAGTTTGGCCAGGTGCAGCAGCTCATGCCTGTAATCCCAGCACTTTGGGAGGCCAAGGTGGAAGGATTGCTTGAGCCCAGGAGTTCGAGACCAGCCTCAGCAACATAATGGGGCCCCGTCTCTACAAAAAAAAAAAAAAAAAAAAAAAAGCTAGACGTGGTACCGGAGGCCTAAGGTCCCAGCTACTCAGGTGACTTAGGTGGGAGGATTACTAGAGCTCAGAAATTCAAGGCTTCAGTAAGCTATGATTGCACCAGTGCACTTCAGCCTGGGTGACAGACCAAGACCCTGTTTCAAAAAAAAAGGGCAGTCAATTAGTGGCCTAAGAAGTTGCTATTAGGTGAGAGTAGAATGGATTGGAACAGGGGAGGTGTGAATAGCAGGGAGACAGATAAATGGCTATTGCAAGTTCCAGCTCAGAGAGGAGGTGGCCTTTGTGAGCAGGGGAGTAATACTATAAATGAAAGTTGAGATGAATATGAGAAACTCTTTGAATGAAAAATTGATATGGTTTCTTAGTTAACTTAATGTGGGAAGTAATGGAGTCAGACCATGGAGGACTCTACCGGTAACCAAGTGACCCTTCCAGCTTCTGAACTTACAGATAGATTTAAACGTCTCTTTTTGGCTTAATGAATTCATGTTTTGTTTTTAAATGTGCCCATGCTCTGTTTCCTTTATCCTTTCTTTTAGGTCGTATTAGGAATAAGCCTGAGGTGGATGAAGCTGCAGTTGATGCCATTCTTTCTCTAAATATTATTTCTGCCAAGTACCTGAAGTCTTCCCACAACTCTAGCAGGTGGGACACCCAGAGGAGTGTGAAGAGTCCACCCTTGTGGGGGTTAATTGGTACACCATTAGGTTCCTTATTCGTTAATGACTCCCAGTTCAGACGAAGACATGAACTCCCTTCTCCCTTCTAGATTCAAAAATCTATTTATTCACCTGCCTGCTGCTCTCTCCAAAAAAAAAGAGAATTGGAGCTATTTGTATGTGATGAATTACTCCTAGAGAATGGAAGTGATCTGTCCCATGTGAAGTATGAATAGATGTAACAAGTAATACATGAAAATTGGAGAATGAAAGCTCAATATATTGCCCAAGGATTTAAAAGTACAAATTAATTATTGCCAAGATTAAATGTTTTCCTGTGAAATAGTTGCTGTGGAGAGAAAGCTTTCTCTTACTCCTAAGTATCATGGAAACGTGCTCACCAAGATAAAAATGAAGCCTCTTGTGTTTAGTCTTTGCTGCTGCTAGTATAGGCTCAACTATTCTTAGTATTCGATTTTCGTTTATGCACAAAAGTGATAAATAATATGAACTCTTATGACCACGATTGGCTGCCATGCATAGTAGATTTTACTTTGTCTTTCATTTTAAATGTTTCACTTAAAATTATTTTTTATAATCAGGTGATAACGGACAATTCATAAAGTACATAGCCATTCTACTTTCCCTTTTAAGATTAAAACTAAACCAGCTGGGGTCCTCTTACCTCACCCAGCAAAGGAGTTCTCATTGTCTCAGAGACTCCATCTCTATATCCTAGCTATATCCTAGGGACTGGGAAACAGGAGCAGCTGCCTCTTCTAATGTGGGCTGAGCACAATGCCTTCACACCACAGGACTTCACTGTGCCTCAGTCTGCTCCTGAAAAACTTGTTTACATCCATGTTGAGAGGAGGAAGGGTAAGAATAAGACAACAGGCAGAAATGGAATGAAAGGTTTGGGCCAGGATTAATTTCTTTTTGTTGTTTTCTTGTGTTATAGTTTACCATAGGAAAGAGGAAAAAAACAAACTTCTATTTACTGGCAGGGGCTGTGGAGAAAGAGGGAAGGAGTGAGAGGGCATATATGTCTGGGGAGGGGGAGTGGCAGTAATAAAGAGGGGTGCTTTGACTATCTGTGGGCAGAATCATGAACAATACTATTTCCCTGAAGTCAGCAGTAATTCTGCATAGCTTTCTGTCTTCTGCCAATAGCTATGAAAAATGTATTGTAGATTTCCCTAAGGTACTTAGTAAAATATACAGGGAAAGATGGGCTTTGGTTGAAATACTGGTTATTCTAAGTTTGCCTCCATTAGAGTAACTTTGAGAATTCCTTTAATTCATGCCCCAAAACAGGTCAGGTGCTACAAGAAATGAATTTGGCTTTGTTAGAAGCAGCTTATCTTGTGAGTTGGAGTGAGTTAATCAAAAAAGGCTGAAGTCAAGAATAATTAAAAGATATACACCTTAAACATTTCTGTTCTAGGCTGGGCAAGGTGGCTCATGCTTGTAATGCCAGCACTTTGGGAGGCCGAGGCGGGTGGATCACCTGAGGTCAGGAGTTCAAGACCAGCCTGGCCAACATGTTGAAACCCCATCTCTACTAAAAATACAAAATTAGCCAGACATGTTGGCGCATGCCTGTAATCCCAGCTACTTAGGAGGCTGAGGCAGGAGAATCGCATGAACCCAGGAGGTGTAAGTTGCAGTGAGTGGATATTGTGCCATTGCAGTGCAGCCTGGGCAACAAGAGTGAAACTCCATCTAAAAAACAAAAAATTTATGTTCTAATTTAAACTATACAAATCTACATTAATTTATTAAGCTTTTGCTGGAAGGCCATGGCCTTTTTTTTTTTTTTTTTTTTTTTTTCCAAGAGACAATGTCTCGCTATGTTGCCCAGGCTGGAGTGCAGTGGCTATTCACAGACGAGATCCCATTACTGATCAGCACAGGAGTTTTGACCCGCTCCGTTTCCGACCTGGGCCGGTTCACCCCTCCTTAGGCCACCTGGTGGTCCTCCCCTCCTGGGAGGTCACCATATTGATGCCGAACTTAGTGCAGACACCGATTGGCATGGCACACTACAGCCCAGAACTCCTGGGCTCAAGCGATCCTCCCACCTCAGCCTCCCAAGTAGCTGGGACTGTAGGCACACACCACCATGCCTGGTGGATTTTTCTTTAATTATAAGTTCATTTACTGGAATTCTGATTGTCTCCCTTGCAAAACCACACCCATAATTCATCATCTGTGACTCTCAGTTTGGTGGAGCAAGAATTAGAAATGTTGATCCTGTGCTGTGTTGGAATATTAAAAACAAGAATTAGAAACCTATGAAGAAAATCTAAGTTCAAAATCCTTTAAACTTTGTATCATTTATTAACATTTTATCATTTTCCCTTCTTTTACATTTATCTCACCCAACCTTAACAACTATTTTTAAACAACTCATCATCAGACCTTTTGAAAACATTCAACTTAGTTTTCACAGAAACAAAAATTATTTATGTTTTCTTATTTCATTGATTTGCCTAATGTTTAATGAAGTTAGACAATAATAAGTGCAACTGGCATAAACAGATTTGGGACCAGATACTACTGACATTTGATAAGCATGCAACTTAACTCTTTGGAGCAAAGTGTCTGGACATATGAGACATCTTTGTAGTTTAGAATGCTCAAGGAGAAAGAACTAGGCATCAATCTGTATATTTTAGGGATATGGAGAACATAGGTTAATATGACTAGTAAGTGGCAAAATGGAGTTTGGTTAAGAGAACTTTTGTTCTGTTTGTCTAAGGTTTAATGTTTAAAATTGAACTTACCTCCAGTTTGGGGATATAATGTGTGTTTCTTAGAGTTCTTTTAAAATATATTGATAGTGGAACATAATTGACAAGGGACCATTATTCCTTTTCTTGGCTGCCCTACATTTATGTTAATGAATTGACTTGGTTTTCCTTTAACTCTGCAGCAACTTCGTATTATTCTCAATACCAAGTCACTACCAAAAGGGGTATTGATGGTAGTAATCTCCACTTTCCCATCTATGTCCAGCATTTTCCTTAGTTGAAAGTCTCAGGAGAGGGACCCATGTCATTGTAAGTCCTCTATCAAATTGTGTTCCATGGAATTCTCTGTTAATTGTCTGTCCACTTGAATTCACTTTGCTTATCAGCAAATTTGTCTTTTTTTATATATATATATTTTTCTGATTCACTCGATTTCTTTTGTTTTGTTTTGTTTTGTTTTGCTGCACTGACAAAAGCCTTTTCCATGTTTTTGCAGGCTCTTTCTTGATAAGGATATTCCTAGGTATTTTCTGTTTGCTTTTTTGCACATAAAGGTTCTAGTTTATCAGAATGCTTTATGTCTTATGTTGCTTTGATGGCTGTTTTAATGTTGTGGTTCCCTCCCCATGTAAACCTACTGTATCTAGGGTAGAGTAGATCCTATTGTGTACCCTAAGAAGCACATAGCTTCTTCAGTGATTTTTCAAGTTTCAAATTATTTTCTCCGTTTATGAAACTTGTCAGTTTTATTCTTACATCATTTCAGTTTTCCTCTTCTACGTTACAAAGTAGAATGTTTCGCCCTTCATTTCATTCAGAATCTCAGGCTTTGTTTTCTGTTCCCCTCTTTGTCTGCTCTCTGTCAAAAGCTTGACAAGTTTATTGCTTTATAAAGTCTGTTGCAGCCTTGCAAAATGGATCGCTTTCTGCTCTGTTTTGTCCTGTGCAGTAGTAGAGACAAATGTGTCTATTTGGATAGTTCTGTCTGTAAGAAATATTTTATATATTATTTTTAACATTTATCTTGGTCCTGTCAGGACTGCTTATTTTATCTGTTTATTTTCTTCTTTTGGAACAGAAAAAGTCCTGGTTTGGTATTAAAGGAAGTTGTTTTGGTTTTTGTTTTTTGTTTTTTTAGATCTCTGTATCTCATTTAGGGAAGAAAATGGAAGGAAGTGATACATGGCAGTATAACCTAAAATGTTAAAAATGCATAAACATATTTATATATTTGACTGATGTTACTGATATAATGATTTTATACCTTAATCTGGACTCCATTCAGTTTATATTTCAGAGATTGTCCTAATGAACTCAAGAGGGTTCATCAGATGTGACCATAATGTAAGAAGTTGGTCTCTGTTTTGTTTTCTTGAGACGGGTTCTTGCTCTGTTGCCCAGGCTAGAGTGTAGTAGCTATACCTGCAGATGGTTTATATATATATATATATATATATATATATATATATATATATATGCAGCTGGGCATGGTGGCTCACGCCTGTAATCCCAACACTTTGGGAGACTGAGATGGGCAGATCACGAGGTCAAGAGATCGAGACCATCCTGCTCAACATGGTGAAAACCTGTCTCTACTAAAAATACAAAACTTAGCTGTGTGTGGTGACACACCTGTAGTCACAGCTGCTCTGGAGGCTAAAGCGGGAGAATCACTTGAACCCAGGAGGCAGAGGTTGTAGTGAGCTGAGATCATGCCACTGCACTCCAGCCTGGGAAACAGAGTGACATTCCATTTCATAAATAAATAAATAAATAAAATAAAGTGCAGTAGGATGATCATAGCTTACTGCAACCACGAATTCCTGGGCTCAAGCAGTCCTCCCGTGTCAGCCTCCTAAATAGCTGGGACTGTAGGCACATGCCACCATGCCCAGCTGATTCAATTTTTTTTTTTTTTTTAAATGGGGTCTCACTGTATTTCCCAAGCTGGCCTCAAACTCCTGGCCTCAAGTGATCTTCCCACTTTGATCTCCCAAAGTGCTGGGATTACAGGTGTGAGCTACCATGAGTGACCAGAAGTTGGCTTTTAATAGTTCGTAAATAGGCCGGGCGCGGTGGCTCACGCCTGTAATCCCAGCACTTTGGGAGGCCGAGGTGGGTGGATCACGAGGTCAAGAGATCGAGACCATCCTGGTCAGCATGGTGAAACCCCGTCTCTACTAAAAATACAAAAATTCAGCTGGGCATGGTGGCATGTGCCTGTAATCCCAGCTACTCGGGAGGCTGAGGCAGGAGAATTGCCTGAACCCAGGAGGCGGAGGTTGCGGTGAGCCGAGATCGCGCCATTGCACTCCAGCCTGGGTAACAAGAGCGAAACTCCGTCTCAAAAAAAAAAAAAAAAAAAAAAAAAAAAAATAGTTCGTAAATAATAAATTCAGGCCAGGTACCATGGCTCACACCTGTAATACCACCACTTTGGGAGGTCAAGGTGGGCGGATCACGAGGTCAAGAGATGAAGACCATCCTGGCCAACATGGTGAAACCCCGTCTTTACTAAAAATACAAAAATAATCTGGGCTTGGTGGAGCACACCTGTAGTCCCAGCTACTCGGGAGACTGAGACAGGATAATCATGAACCTGGGAGGCGGAGGTTGCAGTGAGCCAAGATCGTGCCACTGCACTCCAGCCTGGTGATGGAGTGAGATTCCATCTCAAATAATAATAAATTCAAAGGAATATATCCTGTGAAGTAGTCATCTTGAAACCTGTTTTTCCTCTGATGCTGCTGCTGTTCAGAACATCTTGAGAAATCCATTTGGAAGTACTTGTCACCACCTTAGGAGGCATACAGGAAAATATGTCTTGGGACTCGGCCCTGTTTATAACCCTAAATTCTATTGCCAGGTTGATTAAATTGACATTTCTCCCCAGTCTTAGTTGTATTTCTTTCAGCCATTTCTGAAGAATTGCCACTGGCAGGGTGCAGTGGCTCACACCTATAATACTAGCACTTTGGGAGGCCAGGGTAGGAAGATTACTTGAGCCCAAGAGTTCAAGACCTGCCTGGGCAATGTAGAACTTGTCTCTACAGAAAAAAAAAAAAATTAGCCAAGTGTGATGGCTTGTGCCCATATTCCCAGCTACTCCGGAGGCTGAGGTGGGAAGATCACTTGAGCCCAGGAGTTAGAGGCTGCAGTGAGCTGTAATTGTACCAGTGCACTCCAGTCTGAGCAACAGAGCAAGACCCTGTCTCTAAAACCTAAATTTAAAACCGGGCGCAATGGCTCATGCCTGTAATCCCAGCACTTTGGGAGGCCGAGGTGGGTGGATCACCTGAGGTCGGGAGTTCGAGACCAGCCTGACCAACTCCGTCTCTATTAAAAATATAAAAATATTAGCCAGGCGTGGTGGTGCATGTCTGTAATCCCAGCTACTCGGGAGGCTGAGGCAGGAGAATCGCTTGAACCCAGGAGATGGAGGTTGTGGTGAGCTGAGATCACGCCATTGTACTCCAGCCTGGGCAATAAGAACGAAACTGTCTCAAAAAAAAAAAAAAAATTAAATTTGAAAAGCCAGGCACAGTGGCTCACACCTGTAATCCCAGCACTTTGGAAGGCCAAGACGGGCAGATCACCTGCAGTCAGGAGTTCAAGACCAGCCCGGCCAACATGGTGAAACCCCATCTCTACTAAAAATACAAAAATTAGCTGGGCTTGGTGGTGGGCGCCTGTAAACCCAGCTACTCAGGAGGCTGAGGCAGGAGAATGACTTGAACCTGAGAGGCAGAGGTTGCAGTGAGCCAAGATTGTGCCACTGCACTCCAGCCTGGGTGACAAGAGCAAGACTTCATCTCAAATAAATAAATTAATTAATGTTTAAAAATAAATTGCCACCTTTGGTGGATATTCCAACAGAACTTGCTGCGACAAGTACAAAGCAAGAAAGGGGAACTTTTTTTTTTTTGACAAAAGGATAAAAAAGAAAAACTTTTTTCCCCAATACAGGAAGACTTTAGTGGAGTGAAAACTTCCCTTTTGTTTCTGCCAATGAAATTTCCTCTTTACATTAAGTGAAAGCTTGGCCTGAAAACAGAAATATGAAGAGGCTTTTTTAGACAAGTTCAAAACATTTGCCTCAGTTGAAAGAATCAGCGTCATGAAACCTCAGCAATGATCCTGGGAGATGCCACGTTATGGTTTGCAACTTAGTGAAGGCAGCAGTGATAGGAATTTCTGTCACATATCACAAAAGTCATAAATGCCCTCTAAGAAGAGGGGTTTATTTCACTTTAGCACAGATGTATCCAGTGTCTGAAATGGAACAAATAAGCCCCACCCATTCTAGGTACCGTGATAAAAACAGGGACGCAATAAAAGAGCAGATTTCAGGAGACTGAGACAGGAGAATTGCTTGAACCTGCCAGGCGGAGGTTGCAGTGAGCCTAAATCGCACCACTGTACACCATCCTGTACAACAAGAGTGAAACTCCATCTCAAAAAAAAAAAAAAAGAGCAGATGTCATGGTGATAGAATCAGTTCTCAAGTGGCTTCTGGTGAAGTAGTAGTTATTGTCACCCAATATTAGAATATGCCTTAAACCAAATTAAAAATTTGCACTACACAGAGTTTTATGGACACATGAAGGGTTTCCTGCTATGCCCAGGGAGCCCAAGAACAATAGAAAGGCCTTGATTGTCCATCATTTCTGTTGCTGTTTGGGTCACTTGGTGGCTTTGTGTTTGTCTTGTTAGTTGTTTCTATATCTTATGTCTTCGTAGAGAATTTTCTTGACCCACACTCACTGTCTCAAAGGTTAGACATTTGAGAGAGTATTAAGTACTTGAAGAAGACTTAGATCTAGAAGCAGCCACAACATTAGATGATCAGACCTCATACACTGGCACTTGGAAGATGCGATGTGGTGATGGGTTCAGTTTCAAAAATAAATTATTCTCTCTGTTGATTGTTTCTGGAGGAAGAAACATGGGGATGTGTTTAGAGGGAGGATGTGCCAGCTACTTATCATAGGAAGTCTAGAAAAGGCAGCCATAGTGAGGTCACCATTTGAAAAGGAGTAAGAAGGAATGTATTGGCCAGAAAAGAGTGTGCACAGACTCTTCTAGGTGAATCAGGTGAGCTGTGTTTTATCTGCAGAGAACGAGTGGTGTCGGGACAGACAAGGCATCTTCCCTTCCACTTATCATAGGGGTCTGAGAAAGGAAACATAGGGTAGAATCTGGAATCAATCTGTAATGCTGCTTTTAAACTAAGTGCAGTATTTCAGATTAGACTTGCTGAACTGGAAGAATTAATTAGAGTTTATGGTATTTTACCAGCAGAAAAAAACAATGTTAGAAAAACAACCAAAACAAACCAGTTTGTGGGTATCTATTACATTAAGTTTCTGTTTGTTATAGAAATATGAGATTGATTTTCCTTTTTTTATCGTATTCTTTTTTTTCCTTTTATACTTTAAGTTCTGGGGTACATGTGCAGAACATGCAGGTTTGTTACGTAGGCATACATGTGCCGTGGTAGTTTGCTGCATCTGTCACCCCATCATTTACATTAGGTATTTCTCCTAATGCTATCCCTCCCTTACCCCCCACAAGGTTGATTTTTCAGATGGCTTTAAAAAAAAAAAAAAAGGCTAACAAATGATATTTGGCTGGCTCTAGTGTTAAAAATTTATTCTCTTTTACTGAAACATCAGTTAAGAATAACCTTTTGGACCTGGTGCAGTGGCTCATGGCTCTAATCCCAGCACTTTGGGAGGCTGTGGCGGGCCGATCATGAGGTCAGGAGTTCGAGGCTAGCCTGGCCAACGTGGTGAAACCCTCTCTTCTAAAAATACAAAAAATTAGCCAGGCATAGTGGTACACACTTGTAGTCCCAGCTACTTGGGAGGCTGAGGCAGAAGAATTGCTGGAACGGCAGGCAGAGGTTGCAGTGAGCTGAGATTGTGCCACTGCATTCCAGCCTGAGTGACAGAGCAACACTCCAAACACTCCATCTCGAAAAAAAAAAGAATAACATTGCTGGGCATCGTGGCTTATGCCTATAATCCTAGCACTCTGGAAGGCCAAGGTAGGCAGATCACCTGAGGTCGGGAGTTCTAGACCAGCCTAACCAAAATGGAGAAAGCCTATCTCTACTAAAAACACAAAATTAGCCAGGGGGTAGGGAGGGCAGTGGTGACTCATGCCTGTAATCCCAGCTACTCAGGTGGCTGACACAAGAGAATCACTTGTACCTGGGAGGCAGAGGTTGCAATGAGCCAAGATTGCGCCATTGCACTCCAGCCTGGGCAACAAGAGCGAAACTCTGTCTCAGAAAAAAAAATAATAATAATTGTTCTTTTATTTCAAATAAGGCTCTCCTCGGTGATGGCTCACACCTATAATCTAAGCACTTTGGGAGATCAAGGTGGGTGGATCGCTTGAGGTCAGGAGTTCAAGACCAGCCTGGCCAACATGAGGAAGCCCCATCTATGCTAAAAATACAAAAAATAGTTGGGTATAATGGTGTATGCCTATAATCCCAGCTACTTGGGAGGCTGAGGCAGGAGAATGGCTTGAACCCAGGAGGCGGAGGTTGCAGTGAGCCGAGATTGCACCACTGCACTTCAGCCTGGGTGACAGAGTGAAACTCCATCTCAAAAATAAATAAATAATGGCCGGGCGCGGTGGCTCAAGCCTGTAATCCCAGCACTTTGGGAGGCCGAGGCGGGTGGATCACGAGGTCAAAAGATCGAGACCATCCTGGTCAACATGGTGAAACACCGTCTCTACTAAAAATACAAAAAAAATTAGCTGGGCATGGTGGCGCGTGCCTGTAATCCCAGCTACTCAGGAGGCTGAGGCAGGAGAATTGCCTGAACCCAGGAGGCGGAGGTTGCGGTGAGCCGAGATCGCGCCATTGCACTCCAGCCTGGGTAACGAGAGAAACTCCGTCCCAATAAACAAACAAACAAATAAATAAATAAGGATCTCTATACTTAAACTCTTCTACCCAGTTTCTACCATTAATCCCCTCAGATAAATTTGTGACATTTCTGAAGCCCAGCAGCACTGGATTGATTGATGTTTAGCCCTCTTGTGATGTGAAGATTGAAGCTGACAAATTAGTGAGCATTCACCTCCTGCTCTCATCATTAACCAACAAGGGAGCATACTTAGTCTTTCTTTCCTGTTTCAGTTTCTGTCCACACTCACTTATCCATTTCATCTTAATCCCTTTGGTTGACCTCACTATTTTTATGTTTGTAGGCAGAGGCAGGCTTGTCAAAACAAAATTTAAGAAAGCACAACTGGCCAGGTGCAGTGGCTCATACCTGTAATCCCAACGCTTTGGGAGACTGAGGTGGGCAGATCACCTGAGGTCAGGGGTTCAAAACCAGTCTGAGCAACATGCTGAAACCCTGTCTCTACTAAAAATGCAAAAATTAGGTGTGGTGGTGTGCGCCTGTAATCCCAGATATTTGGAAGGCTGAGGCAGGAGAATCACTTGAACCTGGGAAGCAGAGGTTGCAGTGATCCGAGATCACGCCACTGCACTCCAGCATAGGCAACAAAGCAAAATTCCGTCTCAAAAACAAAAAAGGCACAGCTAAGTATTCCTTAATCATGGGTGGGGTTGGGGGCAAGATGATGGGGACCTATCTTTTCCTCCTAGGAAATAAGAGTTCTTTTCTGTTATTAGAGTTTGATAAATTGAAAGTGTCGGTTGGGATAGAGTTCTTTAGGATGATTGACAGTGGCATTACCTGGACTGAGGTGACTTTAGCATGTTTTGGATGATTCCCTCTTGTCTTTCTGACTTTAGGACCTTCTACCGCTTTGAGGCTGTGTGGGACAGCTCTCTGCATAACTCCCTTCTTCTGAACCGAGTGACTCCCTATGGAGAAAAGATCTACATGACCTTGTCGGCCTACCTAGAGGTAAGGAGACTTGGAACTTCAGTTGATGAGAACAGCCAGCCCTGAACGGTGTGCAGGTTACAGCAGGAAGTGCTCAGCAAATATTCCACTTGTTTTGTCCTCTTTCTTCCTCCACATCCTTAAGCTTTTTATTTTATTATACTTTGCTGACTCTTCTGATTGTATTAGATTCTATTCCTGGGTTCTGTTTACTCAAAAAACTACAGGACATTCATTCCTGCTTCAGCTTTAGTAGCTAATCACCATTCTTTGAAGAATGTGATTTTTAAGAAAACTTCACCTCTTGTTTTTGTAGTTATGGACAGAGTATTAATAATAGTGGTTAACAGCCCAGACCCAGGAGCCAGCCTGTTTGAGTTCAAATCTCTGTGCTGCTACTTACTTCCTGTATGTCCTTGGAGAAACTCTCTTTGCCTCAGTTTCCTTACCTATCAAACAAGGGAAACAACACTTACCTCAGATAAAAATAAACGCATCTGTAAGGAGTACTACCTACTCTTGCACATATTATCCACTAGGTGGCTGTAGAAATAATTGGTGGAGCTGAAATCCTTCAGTTCCCACAACTGGGACTAGCTTTTTAAATATGTTCGTGTATAGCCTCTGGTCACAGTACGTTGCCTGCCCTTCATCAACACCTACCCTGTCTGCTTTCAGCTGGATCATTGTATCCAGCCAGCTGTCATCACCAAGGATGTGTGCATGGTCTTCTATTCCCGAGATGCCAAGATCTCACCACCCCGTTCTCTGCGTAGCCTCTTTGGCAGTGGCTACTCAAAGTCACCAGACTCGTAAGTTTTTGACACAAGTTAGCTTCCAGTTTGTTTCTTCAGTACAACAGAATCATCAGTCCTTAAGTATTCTCAGCTTACAGTCTCACAGTTAGTTTACAGTTTATAAACCATTTTGGTAACTGACACCTGGAATGTACTGACTTGCATGCTGACATTTAATAAAATGTTAACGGATGGATGAATTATGAATGAAGGAGGGGATATTACATTGTGAATACCTCTAAAACAATTTTGCAAAGACTAAATATCCTTTTAAATATCATCATTATTATTTCTAATAGATTACCATTGGAATTTTCTTCTTTTTAAGATTTGTTGTGCTTCCCCCCCCCCCCTTTTTTTTTTTGAGATGCAGTTTTGCTCTTGTTGCTCAGTCTGGAGTGCAATGGCGTGATCTTGGCTCACCGCAACCTCCGCCTCCCAGTTTGAAACGATTCTCCTGCCTCAGCCTCCCAAGTAGCTGGGATTACAGGCATGTGCCACCATGCCCAGCTAATTTTGTATTTTTAGTAGAGATGGGATTTCTCCATGTTGATCAGGCTGTTCTCAAATTCCCAACCTCAGGTGATCCACCCACTTCAGCCTCCCAAAGTGCTGGCATTACAGGCATGAGCCACCATACCCAGCTTGTTGCGCATACTTAGGGCATACAAACTACGTCAAGAGTAATATAGTGAAGGCCAAGCACAGTGTCTCACATCTGTAATCCCAGCACGTTGGGAGTCTGAGGATGGAGGATTGCTTGAGCCTAGGAGTTTGAGACCAGCCTGGGCAACATAGTGAGACCCCATCTCTACAGAAAATTTAAAAATTAGGCAGATGTGGTGGCACACGCCTGTAGTCCCAGCTACTCAGGAGGCTGGGTGACACAGTGAGACCCTGTCACAAAATGAATGAATGAATGAAGGAAGGAAGGAAGGAAAGAAAGAAAGAAAGATAGATACAGTGAATACCTGTGTATGGCAACCCAGCTTAAAAAATAAAATAAGTATTACTAATACAAAAGAAGGTATTACTTTTGTATATACTCAAGCTATGTGCAGTGGCTCACACCTGTAATTCCAGCACTTTGGGAGACCAAGGCAGGTAGATCACCTGACGTCAGGAGTTTGAGACCAGCCTGGCCAACATGGTGAAACCCCTTCTCTACTAAAAATACAAAACTAGCTGGGGGTAGTGGCATGCACCTATAAGCAGGAGGCTGAGGCAGGAGAATCACTTGAACCCCAGAAGCAGAGGTTGCAGTGAGCCGAGATCACATCATTGCACTCCAGCCTGGGCAAAAAGAGTGAAACTCCGTCTTTTTTTTTTTTTTTCAAACGGGGTTTCACTACGTTAGTCAGGCTGGTTTTGAACTCCCGACCTCAGGTGATCCGCCTACCTTGGCCTCCAAAGTGCTTGGATTACAGGCATGATGAGCCACCACACCCGGCCTGAAACTCCGTCTCAAAAAAAAAAAAAAAAAAAGTTTTCGGGAGTTGGGCACAGTAGCATACACCTGTAATCCCAGCACTTGGAAGGCTGAGGTGGGTGGATCACAAGGTCAGGAGTTCAAGACCAACCTGGCCAAGATGGTGAAACCCCATATCTACTAAAAATATAAAAATTAGCCGAACATGGTGGCATGTGCCTGTAATCCCAGCTACTCAGGAGGCTGAGGCAGAGAATTTGAACCTGGGAGGTGAAGGTTGCAGTGAGCCAAGATTGCATCACTGCACTCCAGCCTGGGCAACAGAGTGAGACTCCATCTTAAAAAAAAAAAAAAAAAAGAAAAGGTATTGTACCTCTTACTATTCACAGTCCCCAGAAGTTGTTGATTATAATTTCATTCTAGTCATTGTTTCCCTCATATCTTCTCTCTTACAGTAAGAAAAGATAAATTTTTAGTTATAAATTATGTACTTTATCATTCAGTTTCATTCACCCTATTAAAATAGCAGTGTTTAAAAGACTGAGATGAGGTAGAGCGTGTGGTGGTTTATGCCTGTAATCTCAGCATATTTTTTAATTTTTTGAGACAGGGTCTCCCTCTATTGCCCTGGCTAGAGTGCAGTGGTGCAATCTCAGTTTACTACAATCTCTACCTCCCGGGTTCAAGTGATTCTCCTGCCTCAGCTTTCAGAGTAGCTGGGACTACAGGCACATGCCACCGTACGGGCTAATTTTTTTTTTTCTTTTTTCTGAGATGGAGTTTCATTCTTGTTGCCCAGGCTGGAGTGCAATGATGCGATCTTGGCTAACTGCAACCTTTGCCTCCTGGCTTCAACTGATTCCCCCGCCTCAGCCTCTCGAATAGCTGGGATTACAGGCATGCACCACCATGCCCAGCTAATTTTTGTATTTTTAGTAGAGGCGGGTTTTCACCATGTTGGCCAAGCTGTCTTGAACTACTGACCTCAGGTGATCCACCCGCCTCAGCCTCCCAAAGTGCTGGGATTACAGGCGTGAGCCACCACACCCAGCTAATTTTTTGTATTTTTAGTAGAGACAGGGTTTCACTATGTTGGCCAGGCTGGTCTTGAATACCTGACCTCATGATCCACCTGCCTCGGCCTCCCAAAGTGCTGGGATTACAGGCGTGAGCCACTGCATTCAGCTGTCTCCGCACTTTTTGATGCCAAGGTGAAAGGATCAAGGTGAAAGGTCTTGAAAGTTCAAGACCAACCTGGGCAATGTATTGAGACCCTGTCTGTACAAAAATTTAAAATTTACCTGGGAATGGTGGTGTATGCCTCAAGTCCCAACTAAGGAGGCTGAGACAGGAAGATCACTTGAGTCCAAGAGTTTGAATCTGCAGTGAGTTATGATTGTACCACTGCACTCCAGCCTGGGTGACACAGGGAAACCCTATCTCTAAAAAATATATAAAATTGAGATAAAAGCAGGCTCCTCGGCCGGGCGCGGTGGCTCAAGCCTGTAATCCCAGCACTTTGGGAGGCCGAGGCGGGTGGATCACGAGGTCAAGAGATCGAGACCATCCTGGTCAACATGGTGAAACCCCGTCTCTACTAAAAATACAAAACATTAGCTGGGCATGGTGGTGCATGCCTGTAATCCCAGCTACTCAGGAGGCTGAGGCAGGAGAATTGCCTGAACCCAGGAGGCGGAGGTTGCGGTGAGCCGAGATCGTGCCATTGTACTCCAGCCTGGGTAACGAGAGCGAAACTCCCCCCCAAAAAAAAAAAAAAAAAAAAAAAAAAAAGCAGGCTCCTCTAGGAAAAGGTATAACACTTAAGTTCAAAATGGGAAAAGAGCAGTGACAAATAAGAAATGTCTATAATTGGCCGGGCATGGTGGCTCATGCCTGTAATCCCAGCACTTTGGAAGGCGGGTGGATCATGAGATCAGGAGTTCAAGACCAGCCTCACCAACATTATGAAACCCCATCACTACTAAAAATACAAAAATTAGCCAGGTGTGGTGGCATGTGCCTGTAATCCCAGCTACTCAGGAGGCTGAGGCAGGAGAATTACTTGAACCCGGGACTCGGAGGTAGCACTGAACCAAGATCATGCCACTGGACACCAGCCTAGGCAACAGAATGAGACTACATCTGAAAAAAAAAAAAAAAAAAAAAAAAAAAGAAAGGAAATGTCTGTAATTATATTTGAGGATGGGTTGCAGTCCCTGCAGAGAAGACACTATTTTAAGTAGTAATTGAGATTTTCCTGTTGTTGTGCTATAAGAGATTAAGCAATTATTTTATTTTCTTCAAATAGGAATCGAGTCACTGGCATTTACGAACTCAGCTTATGCAAAATGGCAGACACAGGTAGTCCAGGTAAGCTCTTGTGGATCGAGGAGGTGATATTTATCTTTGTGTATGTTGAAAGTATACTGTATTTAGGCCAGGCACAGTGGCACACGCCTGTAATCCCAGCACTTTGAGAGGCTGAGGCAGGCAGATCAAGTGAGGTCAGGAGTTGGAGACCAGCCTGGCCAATATGGTGAAACCCTGTCTCTATTAAAAATACAAAAATTAGCTGGGCATGGTGGCATGTACCTGTAGTATTAGCTACTTGGGAGGCTGAGGCAGGAGAATTGCTTGAACCCAGGAGGTGGAGGTTGCAGTGAGCCAAAATTGTGCCACTGCAATCCAGCCTGCCTGGGCAACAGAGTGAAACTCTATCTTTTTTTTTTTTTTTTTTTGAGACAGAGTCTAGCTCTGTCACCAGGCTGGAGTGCAGTGGCCCAAACTCGACTCACTGCAAATTCCGCCTCCCGGGTTCAAGCGATTCTTCTGCCTCAGCCTCCCGAGTAGCTGGGACCACAGGCACGGGCCACCACGCCCGGCTGTTTTTTGTATTTTTAGTAGAGACGGGGTTTCACCATGTTGGCCAGGATAGTCTCAATCTCTTGACCTCAGGATCCGCCCACCTCGGCCTCCCAAAGGAAACTCTATCTTAAAAAAAAAAAAAAAAAAAAAGCCTAAAAACTAAATAAAAAATAAAATATACTATATTTAAAAACTGGAGAGTCTACCCAAGTAGGATAGATATAAAACCTTTTAGAAACCGTGTGTGTTTTACAAGCCAGTTTGGTTGAGGAGGGATGTTAGGAGTTACCTTTTTCAGAGTTGCAATGTTTTTTGGTTTATGATGTGCATCTGTATTAAAATTGTATCAAAATATCACTAGGCTGTGAGTAAAATTTGAGTTAAAAAATTTGGGGCCGGGCGCGGTGGCTCAAGCCTGTAATCCCAGCACTTTGGGAGGTCGAGGTGAGTGGATCATGAGATCAGGAAATCAAGGCCATCCTGGCTAAAACGATGAAACCCCGTCTCTATTAAAAATACGAAAATTAGCTGGGCACAGTGGGTCATGCCTATAATACCAGCACTTTGGGAGACTGAGGTTGGTGGATCACAAGGTCAGGAGTTCAAACCAGTCTGACCAATATGGTGAAACCCGATTTCTACTAAAACAAAAATTAGCCAGGCATGGCACACCCACAGTCTCAGCTACCCAGGAGGCTGATGCAGAAGAGTTGCATGAACCAGGGAGGTGGAGGTTGCAGTGCAGCCTGGACAACAGACCAAGACTCCATCTCAAAAAAAAAAAAAATTTATGTGAATTAGAACGAATTTGATTTAGAAAACTTCATAACCATTTCTCTCCCCACTTTAGCCCAAAGATGACTTAGCAGTGTAACTTTACAGATGTTATCAGACTGGAATTTAAATTTCCCATGTTTTAGAAAGTCAAATTATTGGCCAGGTACAGTGGCTCACACCTGTGGTCTCAGCACTTTGGAAGGCCGAGGCACGTGGATCACCTGAGGTCAGGAGTTCAAGACCAGTTTTAAAATCTCCATTCTACCAAAGATAGAAAAATTAGCCAGGCGTGGTGGTGCGCATCTGTAATCCCAGCTTCTCAGGAGTCTGAGGCAGGAGAATTGCTTGAACCCAGAAGGTGGAAGTGGTGACTCACGCCTATAATCCTAGCACTTTGGGAGGCTGAGACAGGCAGATCACCAGGTCAGGAGTTTGAGATCAGCCTGGCCAACATGGTGAAACCCCATCTCTACTAAAAATAGAAAAAATTAGCTGGGCGTGGTGGCAAGCACCTGTAATCTCAGCTACTCAGGAGGCTGAGGCAGGAGAATCGCTTGAACCCGGGAGGCAGAGGTTGCAGTGAGCTGAGACCCCACTGTTGCACGGCAGCCTGAATGACAGAGCTAGGCTCTGTCTAAAAAAAAAAAAAAAGGTACAATTACTAAGTCAAATTTGTTCTGTATTGTTTTTAATGTGTTTTTAAATTGCTGTTGTTCCTCTAGCTAGGCGGACTTAAGCAGCACTTAGCATTTCTATGTTTATAAACTAAAACATGAACAAAAGTTAAGGTTTTCTAGTAGAGTTTGATTAATGTGAGTTTGAATCATTTTAGAGAATATACATGGAAAACAAGCCAGGGCCCTCAGGTAAAACTTAGATAAGTAAAGAAGACTTTGACTATGAATCCAAGTAGCAGCTAATTATTATACTATCCAGATAGTTCCTTGAGAAATTCTTTAAATTAATATAAATTTATATATTTAATATGTAAAACCAACATAATACTAAAAATAATTAACAGGAAATAATAGAGGCTAAAGCTCTCTGTCATCTGTCAGCCACTGAACCAGTAAGAGAGAGAGTGTGTGTGTGTGTGTGTGTGTGTGTGTGTGTGTGTGTGTGTGTGTG